AGTACAGACTAGTTTCTGTTTACATCCTTCAAAGCCCCAAAATTATGGGAAACGTGGTTCAAAAAGAGTTTGATTACACCTCAAATCGATGTGTATTGACCTGTATCACTCAGTCTATTTAAATCATAATAGAACTAAAGTCTGCACACTCTCCCAGGTTACCGCATCCAAAATGCTTGGAAAACTGGCCACAATCAAATATGTGAATCTATTTTTGCTGTGTGTTGGAACATATATGCACATAGTGTTCTTGTATAGTAGTTTTAAAACTTATTATTACGTTTGCCAGTGAGCTAATAGGACAAGGTGCAAACTGGGCTCTTAAAAAAGAGCATATGAGCAATAGAATATATGTAGTGTTCCACGTAGGAGTTAGAAACCATCAGTAGAAACAGTAGAATGAAAACCTTCCCTCTCCCGATCATCAGTGAAACGCCAAAAGAAGAATATTTCTACTGTGCTCTGTGACCACTTATCCAACAATGCCTTTGTGTTTCACTGAAACCTGCATTCTGAATATGGTGATCGATCTGTAACTGTGATTAAGTTTACTGTGTGTAAGAACTGTGATTTGCAGTACATATCAAACATGGTAGCTGTATAAGCCTGATATATACACACTTATTATAAATGACAAGTTGATTTCTAAACCTCCCGTTAGCTTTGATCGACTTCTTTATAGTTTGTGGATTATGAGCCTGAAACAACCTGAAGGCTCGGAGACACATTTTTAAATCATATAGTGTCTCGTGACAGTTGGACATTTTTATTTAGCAGTTTGTATGCATCCCTGTGAACCCAGAACTAAGAGAACTAAACTGCTGCATCTGGAGATTTGTACATTGAGTCAAAGCTGCCAATAGAGGCGGTTATTTGTCACCATCTAGTGGTTGATTGGATGTACTGCAAGTGAAATGACTACCTTGAACTTGACAAATGCTCTCGAGAAACTAGAGACTTGTTTCACCTGTGATAGCAAATGATGACATAAGAGATGTCACAATCATCATCTTAGTTTGAATTTTCTTTTAATTCAGTTTTTGGAAAGTCGAATTGAAATGTGTGGGCAATTTACAGTGTTCAATTGAGCTGCATGTTTTGGGAATGTGGGAGGAAACCGGAGCACCCGGGGAAAACCCAACGTCAGCACGGAGAGAACATGCAAACTCTTCACAGGGCTGATAAACGCTCAGCCTTCTTCCTGTGAGGCCACAAAGAGCCACCGTGCTGCCTTAGCTCTTAAAAAGGATGTGTTATTTTAACTACATCATTACAAAAGTCTTTTTAGGACAAATCAGACTCTGATTTAATGTTTAGTACTAGTCGATAGGTAGTACTTAAACAAAAGACCTTTGTAATGATATAGTTTTTTTTTTTTTTTCTTTTTCAAACACATCCTTTTAAAGAGTTTGTATTAATCTTGAAAAATTATCCATTGATTATTATTTTTGATTAATTTTTCAAGATTAATTCAAAGTAAGAAAGAAAGAAAAAGGGGGGAAAGATTGAGATTGGACACAGGATCATGGAGTGTTCTAGTCGTCCTGTGAGCCATTGATGCAGGAGGTGAAGGGCCTCCTCAGAGTCTTGGCCATGAAGGAGAACATCCTGATGATGGCGGGTCGCTTCCTGGTGTTTGGAGGCGGAGAGTCGACGACCTCAAGGTGAGACGCTGGTATGTCACTTGCTGTACAGGCAGGAGTAACTCTGTGGAAACACCTCCTCACTTTCTTCATGAAGCTGCTGGTTTCTCCTGAAGACTTCTGCAGCTGCGCTTTTAAAGTCCTCACCACAGCGTCCTCAAAAGTCACGTCATTGGACACCATGGCAGCCTGCAGCAGCCTCGCAGATCCAAACTCCCGACAAAGCTTCTTATAAACGGAGATGTGGATATTTCCAACGTTCTTTGGGAGAGTGAAACCTGATTTTCCTCCAATCCTGTCTCTCAGGCCTGCCAACACCATGTCAATATCCACCTCGAATATCGATGTCCTGGTGGAGGCAGCAATGTGCTCCACCAGCTTCGAAACAAACACAATGAAAAAGGTATTCTCTCGCTGTGATTCAGCAATGTCGTCCTCGTAACTGAAGACCTGAACCTCCGTCACCTCGTCTGGACAGCAACCCTTTGAGAAGTTACTGTCCAGACATCCTTTGTTGTCAAGTGACTCAAGCAGGTCTAAGTTCTTGCTGTCGGATATGATGTTGACTGGTTCTGCAGTGGTGTCCTTTTCTTTGAAGGCCTGAATCTCCGTCACTTCGTCTGGACAGCAACCCTTTGAGTTGTTACTGTCCATGCACTCTTGGTTGTCAAGTGACTCAAGCAGATCTAAGTTCTTGTTGTCAGATATGATGTTGACTGGTTCTGCAGTGGTGTCCTTTTCTTTGAAGGCCTGAATCTCCGTCACTTCGTCTGGACAGCAACCCTTTGAGTTGTTACTGTCCATGCACTCTTGGTTGTCAGTTGTCGCGTCCACTTCTTTGGTGCTTTTCAGTATATGTCCGACAAGGTAAACCATATCCAGAGTGGGAGAGTCGCATGTTTGTGGCTCAGTTGGTTGCTCCTCTGGCTCTGGTGCGAAAGAAGATGGCTTGCTGATTTGACTCAGGGTCTTGTTCACCTTCCTCTTCACCTCTGCTACGATTAACTCCAGCAGTTGGTCAGCTTGAGGCCACTGATGATTGACTCCTAGTGCCTCAACAAAGCTGAGATGAAGAGAATCCCCAATGCTGGCTTGGATATCTTCCTCAGTCACACGGCAATAATTCCTGTTTGTCACAAAGAGAACAGTTAGTCCACTGATCCACTTTGGGTAGTGGTGTTTTTAATTTCCCCCTCATCTATCACCCTTTTTTCAGAACCTTGGCTCGTTATTTTAAAGAATCACACGAATCAACACCGGTAGCTCATGACTGATACAAAAATCTGATGGAGAATATTGTAAGAGGCAGGGTTCTGGACTTTTCTGGAAAGCGTTAGGAAGCTTTTGTCTTACCTATTGCTAAAAGTGTCTTTGGAGCTGCAGGCCTCGTCCAGGGAACTCTGAAGCTTTAACCAGTCAAGAACCTGAGGTGCCACAACTTGCAGGACCAAGACACTGGTTTCCTCTACAAGCTCATGACACATGTTGTACAGCAGAAAGATGACGTTTGTATCTATGTTTCCAGCTGCCAAAATCATCCATTGTCTGGAAGAAAAGAGTAGAAGGTGGTTGAGCAAAACAAAACCTTAAACCAACGTATACTGTATATACATACATACTGTAAATTTCTGCTGCTGACTTTGAACTTGCGACTTACTCATTTGTGATGTTACACAGAAATGAGATCAAGATTGGTTTGTAGATCTCAGGTGTAAACATGGGAACGTCCAAATCGCTGCATCGCAGGTCTCCCAGTTCATCTGATGAAGGCTAAAAAGAAGAACAATCAGGTTTTAGCAGCCAGGCATCAACAAATCAGTTGTCATTGTGATGGAGAGGGCCAAATTAATTCTGCAGACTGTCAGGTTTCAGACTGTTCAGACAAAACAGGTAGAAATCTGAAACCTGAATCTCTTTTTTAATTTTAAATAACATCACTACTGACAGACGTAAAAATGTAATTGGAGTTTTTCATAAAAAAAAAAAAGAAGGTAAAATGATGGGAAATTAAAACTTTTCTCCCACAGTGTGTGACTCCAGCCTAGATGTTCTTACCTTCTCATACACATCGTGTAATGATTCCTCCATTGTAGCACAGTCCTGCACTTGCTCCATAACTCTTATGTTCTCAAAAACTTTTTAATTGTTTTCTACGTGGCAATCTCAGTGAAGGTCTGTGTAGATCTGCTCACTCTGTGTCTGCTCAGGTGAGAAAGCGAGTGTAGAATAGAATTCATCATTATGAGCAGTGACGACGTCACAATCACACCTGGAATTTCAAAGGCACCATGGAACGCGCGAGCGCACGTGCATGCGCGCCGGGCACGCACGCACGTTGCTCGTTCCTGCGATTTGTCAGACGTCGCCGACACATTGGGCCGGGAAAGCCCGTCCTGAAAACTGCGGGTGTTCTGGATAAAAAAAGCACCATAACATTTACATTTCTCAACAGATTTCAAAAAGTCGTTTTCATATTAAATGATTTATGGTCTATATGGAGTAAAAAATTAAATTTTTATCTCCAGTTAATTATAATCACGATATTTAAGGCTGTTTTCCATAAGGAGGAGTGTGTATAAATATTATGTTTACATGAAGTGAATTAGCTACAGTACTATGGAAAATGATTCACTGTCATAAAGAATTATTAAAACTCACGTGGCTTATCTATACAATTTAATGTGGGCTACATTAAATGTACAGAAAGTTTGTTTACATTGTGGAAATGGCTTCTCCTGTCCACCTCCCCACTGTTGAGCTTTTATTTAGCATTTTAAAATACTAAAGAAAAAGAGGAACTAGTAGAAGTAGTACTAATTGACAAAAATGTGACGTAATAATGAGACCTGTTGCACATTAACAGTCACTTGTGTTAAATTATTTATACTACATATACTAATTACTACAACTAATCTGATATTATTCTACTACTAAAATATAATATACTCATACTACACCAGTGCTATAAAAATATAGAAAGCAGACTGACTGACTTATTTCATTTATTTTATATTATTATAAGATAAAAACTTTTTATTCCACGTAAAGTTTTACCACAAAGTTCACGTTACCACATCCAATCAGAAATGTTAATACATTTCTGATCATTTTTTAATAATTTAATTAAAATATTATTTGCGCTATGAGCTAATAGGACAAGGTGCAAACTGGTCTCTTGGCAACACATTTAAATGATTTACTGCCTCATTTGACATGCATGTAAACTGCACTATGACAGGCAGTAATTCTAGTTTGTACACACCCCTATTATGTACAAAAAACAAGGAGATAATTGATTTTATTATATGAATTTAATATTAACAAAACTTAGTATAAATAATATATAATACACACTGATATGGTTAAACAACAACATGGTCATTTTTAATACTGTTACAACTTGAACGTAGTATAATAAATTATCAAAAAAGCTTTAAAGAATTGTAAAAAAATTGTCTTAGAGGGAAACCTAAGGGAATACGTTGCAGTAGTGAAAGATCTGGACACAAGTTCTCAGTTTTTTATTAGTTTAAACCTCAAACTGTGACAGGTAACTGCATTTCTGTGACTCAGAACTTCCTGGCCAGGTTCCCGAAACATCCAGATGCAGTTCACTTAATCAATTTGAGCAGGATACAATAAACACAAATGACAGGTTCTTTAAAATGATATCATGAGGTTAACATGATGCTGATGCTGATGATGATGATGATGTAGCTCAGCGCTGCAGGATGAAGCCCCCTGCTCGAGCTGACCAGGGGAGAAGTGGGGGTAAAAACTGCGCTGCTCTCGTTCCTCGGCACTAGCACGTTACAGATGTTCCCCTCGCAGCAGGACGAGCACACCTGGCCGATGACATTTAAATGTTGAGAAAATGTCCTGATTGTATGTCGATATCAACTTACTAACATCAAATAAAACACGTAATAAAAGTGTTAAAAAATGAGACCTTTAACAAATTGTAAAGAATTTGTTGCTGCAGTTTAATCCAGAGGTTCCACATACCCGTCCATTACCGGTGATGTAGGCACAGCCAGTAAACAGACAGTCCTCCAGGGTCGCACATCGCTTGGTCACAGACACACTGTCTCCATGGTTATCCATCATGTGGAGTGTGTGGCAGTATCTGGTATCTGCAGGACATAGCACGCCTTAATTTTCTGCATTATTTTGAATTAAATTTAAATTAAATTCCTCATCTGATAATCAATAATCTGATGAGATTGATCCATACCAGTTCAAAAACAGCACTGAATGTAAGATACACCCTAAGAAGACCACAAGGAATTCCATCTTGCGTTCAGTGTTTACGTTTAATCAACACAATCAGGTGTTAAGGAAAAGCTTCCACACATTCGCTCGTTATTGGAACCGCAGTAACAAATGGGAGAGAAATCAAAGCTCAGTCTTGCTGCACACACACACACACACACACACACACACACACAAGCAGTTGAGTAGAAGCTGACGAACCTTTCGGACAGTACACATCCGGAGCCCAGCGGTTACACTCATAGTTATCTTCAGCTTGTTGACATGTGAAGCACTTGAAGGCACCGGGATGAGGCGTCGCTGCGGAGGACAGACAGACACACTTCCGTCAACGCGAGACAATGATATTCACGGCCTCATTATATTATTCTATTTCTAAGCAATCTTCATCGAACTTTATTCTTTTGAACCCTTCTGATTCTTCTTCTCATGCTCGTACTTGAGGGATGCAGCAGGATGATGTCCTTCATGGTGAAGTCCCGTGACTGGACGGGTTTCAGCCAATCAGCGATGTTCGTCATCAGCAGGAGCCAGGCCACCGCTGGCCAGCCCTCCATCATGAGCCTCAAAAATCTTCATGCACTTTGGCCTGTTGGACGCTGGGGGGGGGGGACGACGACGACAAGGGGATATCATCAAAATGCAAAAGAGCCTCACAATTTCATTCACTTGCAATTATCTACACGGCAAAATGCACATCTGCTCTGGATCTCTCTGATGAATGAAAATCATTACAGGAAGAGTACAAGAAAATGCCATTAATCCAGTGAATAGAACATGAAAACAAGAGGCTTTGAGAAAGGAGTGGGATGTTAAAGCCTACTAATGGAAGGAATCAGTCTATAAAAGTGATCAGCTGTGAGCTTGCGTCGTTATTTAAGCTTTATCGCTCATCCGTCCCTGGATTTGAATAATTGCGCAACAAAAGGCCTGGAGGACGTAACATTGTCACTTCTGCCATAAACATGAGTTATGTTTCAATTACAAGTCCCTCTTTCCCCCATGGGAATTCAACCTTTTAGTCCCTGCCTGCCAAATGGTTTTTGTTTTTTCTGTTATGCAATGGGTCATCCATTATAGGCAAGTCAGCATTATTCTGACCACAACAGCAAGTCTGCCCAGAGAGGAACCGTCCCCCTCTGGACCTTCTTAGAAAAAGAGGGGGCTTTCCTGTCGTCGTGACATTATAGGATAATCCACTTTCTTTTTTAAAATGATAAAAGCTCACTTTTCCTATGGATTCTGGTGCATGTTTCCACTATTATTTCCATCACTTCAAGTGTGAGTGACAAGTTATTTTCCTCGACGACGTCTTAACGTTTGCAGTTGAGCTTCCTGTTACAGTCCAGGCCGAACACTCTCTAACAAACGCTCCTCCGGGATTCACCGAGATGTCAGTCAATGCATTAAACACCAGATGACCTGGTTTTTGGCCGCGAATTGAGATCAGTAGAGTTGTCTAAGATCAGCTTTGAGTTCAGATGCCTTTCACTCTATTTTATCCCCAGGCATTGTGCAGGGCTGTGTGGTTGTAAATGCTTGTTTTCTTTGCATTATACATGCCCCAATAAAACTGATCCATGTCTTTGCTGCAAACACAGTAAACATACTGTACTGTACATTCAGCAGCAAGAGCCGAGCATACACTTATCCTTTGTATCAAAGACACTGATTTATACATTTGTTTTAATAAAATAAGTGAATGCAATCCCATGTAACCTATAGACACTATACTATGAAGAAATTTATATTGATTACCTCTACTGTTTACATGCATTTTCTAGACGAAAGTATTGATTTATTTGAGAAAATAAACATCAATTGAAGCCCTAATTAGATCCAACTCAACCGAGAACATGAAGCACAGTGTATTAGTTATTATTAGCATTAAATTAATTAAATCCTCCTCGTTGCCCCCTCCCTTGCAACAGTTGAGTTGATACAGTATTATTTGGAGGGATTGGGTGAAGTCTTTCAGTCCATTGGCGCGCATTCATTAAGCTCCTCAGAGCACTGGTGCTACTGTATGCTTCCTAATGATATGCTGTACGCTGAAAGGACAACTTGAGATTAGCTCTCTAACTTTGAACTGTGTGATGGATGCCCGGCCTCGCCTGGAGCAAAAATCTTGAGTCTGAGAGCATGAGGGCAGGAGTGCGGGGATTAGGTACAATAGCTCCCTGTTACAACTGGAGAGGGATGGAGGTGGAGAGGGTTTATTATCACTCTGGGTTCAATCAGCACCAACCGGCTCCTTCAGGTCCCAGCTGAAAGGCCACACAGGGCTGAAAGAATCTGAAGGAGAGCAGGTTTTAAATCTGTCTCCCATGACAACGCAGCTTGTGAGTGTAAAAGCTGGGGGGCTGAAATGTGCAGCTCCTCAGTCGCAATGATTATCATGAGTCACTATCTGGACTTTTCCTGTTTTATTTTGAAATCACTTTCCCTGTGTGTCCTGTTGGTTGTGTTGCTTCCTGCTCTTTGGTGCGTTTCCCGCCTTTATGATTCACCCGCTGCACCCTCATATGTGTTCCCTTCACTCCTCGTCAGTTCGTCACGTTCTTGCGGTTTGCTTTAACCTTTAGTCTATGTCTCAGTATTTTTCCAGTGTTTTTCTCCCCTGTTTAAATGTGTTTTGCCGGACTTTGCCGAAGACTGTAAGTTCCAGATTTTCCTGTGTCAGTCTCCTGGTTTTTGGTTTTCTTTGGACCCCTGCCCTTTGTGGACTCAGCTTCTGCCTTCCTGTGGTTTTTGGAAAGTCTTAGTTTATAAAGTGACTTCCCTTCACTTATCAGCCCGCCTGTGTGTCTGCATTTGGATCCTCCATCCTGTTTCCCTGCAAAGTACTCCCCTAAAAAAATAAAAAAAAGGTGTTTTTACTATAATTTTGTTCTGCGTTTTCTTATCCAGAAGCGTTTTTTAAAAACACACAGAATTACATTTAAAATGCTATTTGACTCATGACCCTTGCTTGTGGCCTCTTCATACCAGAGATAAGGTGGGCTTATCTGCTGGATCCCATGCCATGAATCAGTCATCAGAAGTTCAGAGGTTGACTTTTGTTTTACACAAATATATTTTACGTAATCCCGAAGGGTAGTGGAACATAACTCATGTCAATGCCATTTACTTCACACCCGCCGTGCCTCCCTCCCTCGAGTGCTGTCAGAGATATCATATATTTATGGCTGAAAGACGCACACGACCCAAGACGTTGTAAATATTACAGATAAAGTCATCTCTATCCAAACCATAATGCAACTGATGGTTATTCTTTTGCAGAAACTATTTAAAGCTCTGTATTTTCCTCTTCTCGTGTGTTTTATTTTGAAGTGTTTGATCCATAAGAAGATTTATTTGTGGTTTTAAGAACTGAAAATCATCTCAGTGTAGTTTTACATCTCCTCTCTCAGGCTTCTCTCTGGAGCTGTAGTGACAACAGGTCGGTGAGCCAATCAGAAGAGAGGAGGCTCTGACTCTTCTCTTCTGATTGGCTGACTGTTTTCTCAGTGATGGAATAAAAATATAGCAGATTTCAGGTAAAACACTAAGAGAAACGAAATCCAGGTGGGTCCAGGTGGGCAGGGGTTGGTCCATGGCTGAGAGCGGTGACTGCTTTGTTGTGACGTCACAAAGTTACAGGAAGTCCTGACTGCTCGATTTAAGGCTCAGTTTCTGAATACAGGCTGTGTGCATTTCTCTGTGGACTGAGGCTTTGATACTTTCACAGTATTAATATAGAACCTAGACCTGATCTATAATCACACTACACATGGACACAGACTGTTAGACTTGTGGGACTTTTAAATGTGCAGAAACAACATAAAGGCAGTTGTAGGAGAATTCGAGGAACACATGACGGCAGGTTTACCGATGGACCAGATACAGAAAAATCACATACTGTCCGGCAGTTTTAAAAGAGGCTTTCCACAAAGCTAAAGTTGAATGTTCAGAATCATGAAGTGATCTAATAATAAAGCCACTAGCACTCACACACATTCATGCTGATGTAGATGGTAACCTAACGAGTCAAATGTGAACAGTTTAATTGCTCAGATGAAGTATAATGGCTCCATGTTGGTCATGCGTGTCTAAAGAATACTCTATCCAGATTTAGGCCACCAGGGTTGCCTTTGAAGAGCAGCCGATATCCAGCAGCTCGGTTCTATTGACCAGACACATATGGCAGGGGCTCCACTTCTGTCATACAACTGCTTTTTGTTTTCGACCCTGCACCGAGGTCAGAGATTCATGACTGCACCTACAGAGAGTTACAGTGGATAGTGTTGATGAATTGTGGAGTAAAAAAGCTGTTGGTTGAACCACTGGTGTAGCGTGTATTGCATCTTAAAAGCAGCCCTGTGGTTAAAGTGTTAACTAGCCAAGTTCAGATCCCCCCAACCCCCCCACCACCACCACCATCATACACACAAACACAGGGTCTCCTCCCCAAGCAAACATGACTGTAAGGTTTGATGAGGTCCGGCTGATTTCTCTTGAAAACAGTGTTAAACATGGATAAACACACATTTATGTCATAAAAAAAATTACTGGCTAAAGTGCAAAACTCGTATTAATTGACATGCAGTATTTATGAAAACCAACTAATGTGACTGATGTACTTAAGTTAAAATATGCAGCAAAATATACTTGAAGTATCAAAAGCGTTAATTTTGCAACACGATGGATCCTAAAATTATTATTTATTACATGATTGGATAGTTATCCAATTATTTAAAGCAGCATTTTGATGTTGCAGCTGGTGGAAGTGCAACTCATACTTTTATCGTATTCCACAAACTGCACAGTCACATCTTAAGCACATTCAATACACAGTGTAAATATGTAACTCCCTTCTCGTAAACAAATGTGTAGATAAAGCAGGCTGCACGTGAATAATTAATTAGCAGTGCGCTTTTACGTGTGATTAAAGACTCGCGCTGCGCTTCAAATCTCAGCTACTACACAATAATTAAAACACCTTAAATAATTAAAACGTATATATATATATATATAGGACAAACCCAGCGGTAAAAAAACACTTGCTGCAATATTGTAGGTTACCAAAAGGTGTTAGAGTAATAGGTGTTCTCACTCTGATGTGTGTTTACATGACGATTATTAGGCTAAACTAACCTGTACTTCTTTTTTTTTTTAATTTTTATTAACCTACACCTTAATTAACATATTTAAAACGCACATTCACAACTACTAATGTGGCTCACACATTCAATCATATTTTAATCTTAAATCTTAGCGCTGTTATTGGTTAATTATTCTCATGCATTACATGTAAAAAGTTAATTACAATTAAAACTGGCCTGAACACTCTTTATACGACTTTATAATGCAACTTACTGGGCTGTGTTTCCTCGATGAACAGTCACATCCTCAGCGTCCGCAGATGAAAATCACAAACTATAGTGAGCTGCTGCGGGGAGGAGGGGGCTGCTGCGTCACAGTGGCGTCATTAATAAACGTCTGGTCACATTTTCTGCACGTTTTGTGGGTAATAAGGAAGGAACGGTTCATGTCATGTCAGTTTTATAGCGAACTTATCATTAAAATATAATGTAGGAATGTAACTTCAAGTATCGCACTAGGTTCTTGTGCTTTAATTGAGAGTTTCCATTTCATGCTTGTTTACATTTCCAGTTAACTCAGAAGCAAATACACATTTCACTTTTACATTTATCTAAATGTTACTTTGCAGGTTCAGAAAAGATATGATGCATCATTCCTGCATCTGTACAACCAAAACACCTTCATAAATACCATAGATCAGTGGTGCTCAGATATGTAAATTTAATACTAAAGGGCTTTTCTCAGGATCAAAAGAGATCAAAGCAAATCTTCTCATTACTATAGGCCTAATTAGCAAAGCTTTACATACCCTACAACCATTCCCTTATTCATATTCCTTGAGTAAAATACAAAGTATGTTGCCAAAGATGAACTCATCAGTGACAAACAGCAGTCCTATGACCTGTAATGTGATCCCTGACAGGAAAGCGAGCAACACTATAACAGCCCATCAGACTCTTGTCAAACAGAGGAATTTCACTACGCACAGATGTGCTACATAATGTGGACAGATGGCTGCTCCGTCATGGAAAACTTTTAGCAGCACCTCAGAAACATGCATACTGCTCAAATGACAAAAACTGAGAGCAATAGGCTCATGCAGTGAAATAAGGGACGAAGGGGCAGTAACAGGTCCTGGGCAGGTTGGAGGCTTTCAAGTATATGCTGAGTTATGGGGAATTTATTATCTATTTTCATTGTTTTACAGCTATTACCTTTGTAAAGGAGAAGTAAAGAGAGTGGGGGAAGTGTGTTGGGTTCAGCTTCTCAAGTATATGAGAATATGCTGTTTTTCTGGATTAAATATTACTGTAAATGAAATAACTGACATTTTCTAAACAAAACAATGAATCTATTTATAAAGAAAATAATTGGGAGATTAATCATTCATGAAAAATTATTATTAGTTAAATCAAATGTATTTATTTATTTATTTTCATGCCAATCTAATGTTCCACACTCCCGCCCGGTAGGTGGCGGTAATGCGCCTGAAAGCTGGTTGCCAACCGCCAAATAAATAAAGGAAGAAGAAGAAGAAGACGGCTCCGGATCCATATGGTGAGCTGCGTGCCGCCCACCGCCATCTTTGGAACAAGGGAGGTGTGCGCCATCAACAGCGGGCCACCGACCTCTTTCACAAAGTTTGTTTAATTTATATATCTCTGTACAAACTGCTTCGCTCGAGTATGGCTAACCGGAACATGCAACAAACGAACATGCAAAGCAGCAACTCTCCTCAACCGGCAAAACGCGGGGCCGACTCCCCGGCCGTTGAGCAGCCACCGTCGAACAAAGACAGCCCAGCGCCGCCGCAGCAGCAGCAGCAGTCCCCCGCGGCCGAACAGGCGGAAGAAGACGGTGAAGGTAGTGGAGAAGGCCCGGCAGAAATGACCCTGGATATAACCAGCTTTCGGAAGCCAGGTGAGAAGACGTTCACCCAGCGGTGTCGTCTGTTTGTCGGGAGTCTACCAACGGATATCCCCGAGGAGGAGTTTACAAACATGTTCGCTAAATACGGAAAAGTTAACGAGGTGTTTATCAACAGAGACCGGGGCTTCGGCTTCGTTCGCTTGGTATGTACAAAATTTAGCATTTTGGCTTTAAACTGAGCCTTTGTACCGAAGTTTATTTAAGTTTTATTTTTATTTTTTTAAAGTAAATGTGTAGTATGTGTGCCGAAATTTCGTGGCTAAGAGGAACTAGCTGCCAGCTTTGTTTAGCTAACATTAGCTCACGTGCTTGTTGACTCTACACCCCAGTTATATTTGATTATCTTACATTAACAGTCAGTAACATGTTATTCTGCTTTACTAGTTTTATTTTTACATTTTACAGAGTAGTTTAACTAATGACCCATATCTGACAAGTGCTGTGTTAGAAGTATGTGTATTGAAATGAGTGATTTCCTCTCTGCTGTGAATTGCATTGTACTGTACTTGCTTATACAGCATATAACAAATGTCATACTATCGTGATTTTTATTTACATTCATGTTGTAATAGTTGTGCAATGTATTGTACACTTCTAGACTGCCAAATTGCTTTACTTTACTTCTGCAGATTGCCCTAATGTACCATGCTGGTGTGTCACTATCCCTTTATTTTTTATTTTTTTGTCCCTTGTCTTCCAGGAAACCCGGACGCTGGCAGAGATTGCCAAAGCTGAGCTGGATGGGACGATTTTGAATAATCGACCGATCAGGATCCGCTTTGCTACACATGGTGCTGCGCTCACAGTCCGCAACCTGCTGCCTGCAGTAACAAATGAACTGCTGGAACAGGTAGAGTGGACAAGGGGCTTCAAGTTGACGCCCAGATGAAATGGGATGTTTGTCAATTCGACTTCCTGTGTCTGCTGATTTCTGTGGAGTGATATTTTAATCTGAAAACCACCCTGTACCCTCAGGCGTTTTCTCAGTTTGGGCCGGTGGAACGGGCTATTGTTGTGACGGATGACCGTGGTCGCCCCACTGGGAGAGGCATTGTAGAGTTCGCAAACAAAGCAGCTGCACGTAAAGCCCTGGAGCGCTGCACCGAGGGAGCGCTGCTGCTGACCACGTAAGTGTGGGAATGAAGTGGTTTCGGAGGGGAGAATGTGCTGGGATTTAATGAGCGGATGGAGTTATGCGTTTATTATACTTATGACGCAGCAACTACCTTCAAAGTTGCCACAAGAAACAAGTGTTAGAATATCTGTTAAACAGCTGTCGCAGATGAAGAGGTCAAAGAGAGACGGTGTGAAAAATGCTAACTGTCAGAGGAAATGATTCTAACATAGTGTTGTCCCCCCCCTCTTTCTTTAGCACTCCTTGTCCTGCCATTGTGGAGCCCTCAGAGCACTTTGATGATGAAGATGGCCTTCCTGAAAAACTGCTGCAGAAGACTCCGAGGTTCCACAAGTAAGTAAAGAGGTGATTTGAAGTCGACATATAATGCATGGGTATGAAACTGTCTTATTTAGTTGACACTGTGTTTTTAAGTGGCTGGAACTGTAGTTAAGTTTCGTACTGATCTTTCTTTCCCCAAAGGGAACGAGAGCAGCCACCACGTTTTGCCCAGCCGGGGACATTTGAGTTTGAATATTCGTCTCGCTGGAAAGCTCTTGACGAGATGGAGAAGCAGCAGAGAGAGCAGGTGGACAGGAACATTAAAGAAGCCAAAGAGAAACTGGAGGCTGAGCTGGAGTCGGCCAAACACGAACATCAGCTCATGTTAATGAGACATGGTAGGAACGGGTTATTCGTGTCCTCCCATGAGTTGCGAGTGGTAGTGTGTGTGTTTGTTTACTCTTTGAACTGTTTGCCTTTGTATGAGAGAAGATTGTATATAGGCTTCTGTTGTGACATTAGTGTGCTTGATATCTTGCACTGGCACAAACTATGCTTCTCCATAGAGATTCTGAAGTGATTTTGCTGCAGCTCACTACAGCATAGAGATTGATTTAAACTATAGGATTCAACCTGCTGATTGTCATAATGTCTCTGAAACTCTTGTGTGGTCATGAAGTTTTTATCTTTATCCTTTATCCTCATCCACTTTGTGCCAGAGACCAAGTCTAGCACTGTAAATAGAAATTTTCACAGTAAAATCAGAATGGAAACAGGATGCAGATTGTGATTAAGACCGTGGATTGTGATTCTACTCAGAAAGATTGTGTTGGCCAGATCGTCCACCCCTATTTGATCCTCATCAATATTCATATATACTTTCTTCCTTTCCTTTCTTTCTGCCAGTCCTCCTCACTTATGTTGTCCTTTCCAGATCTAATGAGACGTCAGGAGGAGCTGAGGAGACTGGAGGAGCTTCGTAACCAGGAGCTGCAGAGACGAAAGCAGATAGAGATGAGGTGTGTTTTCTTTCTTTGAACAAACCATTGGGACACAATTAGACAGTCCATCTACTACTGCTTTTCTATTGTTAGACACAAACAAATTATTTTTTAAGCTTTAAATAGTTTTGTCATGAAGTTGTTGCATTAGAGATGCACACATACATTCTTATTTGACTAATTTCTTTGTTTTGGTTTTTCTCTCCGTCTGCAGGCATGAGGAGGAGAGGAGGAGGAGAGAGGAGGAGATGATGAGGCACAGAGAACAGGAGGACCTGAGACGCCAGCCAGATGGCTTCAAACCAAACTACCTGGACAATGTGAGTACGGCTGGAAGGCACACATGCTGTCAAACACACTGAGGCTTGCCCAGTTACATTTTCGCTTCTGATACACAAACACAAACACAACCTTTTGTCTTGGCTGGCCATCGCATCAGCAAACGTATTTCCCTTTAATTCATACTAAGAAATCAGAAGAAGAAAGTAGAAATACATCATGTCATAAACATATTTCCCTTGATGTACCATAATATTACAGTAAATGTACCTCAACAGCTTGTAAATATACATACTGCATCAGTATCTGCTGCAGGTTACTGCATTGGTATTACAGGAGTTGTATAGTTTTATTTCTTTTTCCAGCAGTGTAAAGATTTCAGTCAGGACAGACTTGTTTTTATTTGAGATCAGTAGATCTTTTAAAATACTCTTTCTTCAAGAATGACCTGCAGAACATATTTTGATTAAATATTAAGATGTCTCAGGTTGTTCAGTGACAAGCCCTTTGTTCACTTTTGATTCCTCTGCATTTGACCAGCGCCTGGACTGAACTCCGCTGCTGTGCAGGGGTTTCTGATTTCCTCATAGTTTTATAGCAGCTGTCAATAATTTATTTTCCATCTTATTCTTTATTTGTAATGACTTCTTCTGTATTTTGATAGTTGCCATTGTAGCCATGTCGCTTCAATACTGTGGTCATTATGTTAAACTACGCAAGTCAGGACCAACACCCACACCAAACACAGCGTCACGTTGTTTAAATTGTATAGTTTTTTATTTTCTATTATTAATTTTTTACTGTTTGAAGATTAAGAGTAATATAGATACTAAACAAACCATAAGAACAACACTAAACCTTTAATTAACTATTTTCTTTTTGTTAACCTTTTCTTTCACGCTTTCCAAACGGCACGAGTCCATTTAGTTTTTGGACACAATATAATGTGTGACAATAGCCTTTCATCAAACATCACCTCTCTGATGTTTAAAGTGTTGAATGTAGTTGTTAAATCAACCTCTCTGAGATGCTCAGAGTAAATCTGACTATTGGAAGCTGCAGTACAGTCGTTACGACTGAGCGGCCGTTGCATCGCTTTATATTATATTGTGCAGGTGTTGTTTTTCACCTCCTGGACAGAAAACATAAATAAAGCTCATTGCCAAGGTGAATATCCGGGGAAGAATACATCGTTTGCATCTGTGAATAGCAGGTTATTCAGGACTCAACAGTCTGATGTGAAATTTTCTTCTTCTCTGTTCTATAAGTGTTTTTTCTTCTGTAAGTTGTGACGTAACCGTGCACTTTCTAACACTTTACTTTAGTTCAGTGGTTCTCAACCTTTTTCTGGCACGCCCCCATTCAAGCTGAAAAAGTTCATGCCCCTCCCACCCCACAGTTTCTATAAATCCCATAGCATCAGCAAACGCGTTTGTTTATTAGTCGCATCATTCAACTTAAGTTTCACTCCAGATTTTTCCCTTGGTCGTCCACATCCTGCAGTTTGAGAACCACTGCTTTAGCTCCTGTAAGTTAGAGGGGTGTGTACTCATTATTGATTTCCTAGATGAACCTCAACACAAAAATCTACAGATGTATAGTGTAGATTAATTGCATTGCCAGCTGGATTTATGATTTTGATTATAAATGGAGATGATTTAAAAGACAGTAGCATTGTTGAATATATGAACAGAAACAGTCCAAAAGATTTTCATAAATAAAGGAAATAAAATCAGTGGAGCTTGATGAGAGTAGAATGTATAGTCTTGCTGTCCCACTGTAAATATATACAGTAGATATATTATATTTCAGCGGGAAACACTATAACACAGTTAAACTTTGACATAGCTGCAGTTCTTTAAAAGCAACTAGGATGTTTGTAAAAAGTAAAGAGAAGAAAAGGATGTTCGCAAGTGAAAATTCATGTTGATTAGATTTGCAGTGATTTAAAAACATTACCATCAAGCGCCATTATATTAAGTTTGAGTGAAGTTCAGTCAGTGTGAATGTCTGTTGGTGTGATACTCTGTTGTTGTTTTCTGTTATAACTTTTCTCTTCAAACCCTTTGCTCCGTTTAGAGGTCCCTGTTGGAGTCGGCATCTTTTACACGCACATAACGAATGCACGCACTCGCAGCCGACTGTCCTCACATCAACTGTTAATCAGTCTTATTGATGAAGACGTGCAGGTTTTTAGTAGAAAACACGAGTGAGGGATGTTTTCATGTGTGTTGTGTGCGTCTTATAGCTGGTGTGGATTGATACTGTTTTAGAAAACGAGTGGACTAACATGTATCACACTCAACACACAATCAACACAATACGCACATAAGTGATGCACAACATTAGACGTTGGGTGTTAGAGACTCCTACACGTTGCTGTTTTCACATTTGAGTGCTAACGTTCTCTTCCTGGTGTTGTTCTACTTTGTACTTTTTATATATATTTTTTTTGTTGTGAGGATCATTGTTCAAGACTGACGTGTTCCAGACTATAAATCCTACTGCTGCTGCCACTTAGTGGTCAGAATTAGCTGCAGCTCAGACATCAGTGTTGGGATCACAAACAGACGCCAAGCTTTTAATCCCTCGTGTTAGTGCAAGAATGATACAGGGTTTTCACATTTAGTTCATTTACTCTGTTGCCACAACATTAGTACCTTTTTTATTATATTTATAACATATTGGCCAATTAACAGGTAAGTACATAAAGAATATAAAAGCTGAGGATTACAGTATTTGTTATTTTCCAATTTCCTAATGATCTGGTACTTGTGAGACAAATTCTAGTATCGCTGTAGCTGTAGATGCATTATGTGGGCACAGTAAATTCAACTTGCAAACTGTGATACTTGGTTATTATAATATGATCTTGATGGGATTAGATTGTGAACATGTACGCACTATTGATAACATTTTAATTTAGTTAAGTCTTAGGTCACTGATGTCCAGCTGGTTTCACTGAGTTGGATCAAGCTTTAGATGTTTCATTAGAAACAAAAAAACTTTAATCCAAAAAGCAGATTCCTTCCAGGTCAGTGAAATCTATAATTGCTGAATTTTATTCACCTTCTGTGTTTGCAGGATTATGTGTGTATGTCTAACTGAGAGAGAGTGAGGCAGAGAGGGGACTGTGTGTCAGTAGTATTATGGATATAAGTCAGTATATGTGTGTGAATGAAATGTATCTACAATTGTGTTATTATGAGAGGATGTGGAAAAATTTATGAGTGAATGAACAGATTGTGGAGAGCCTCCATTTTTGTGTGTTTGGGGCCGTGACACACCAAGCTGATGTCCGCAAAGGTCCACACCCCTCCCCCAGGAGATTTGTGACAGTATGGACTGGACATACTACACGTGCGCACAAAAAAACAAAACAAACTAGATGCTTGTGTTTATATATGTGTGTGTGTGTGCTGTATTCCCCATCCTTGGTTTTGTCCTCAATTAGCGTTCACACACATATTTCCCTTTTTGTTTTTCTTGTGCTCATGTGCGTATGCAGACCCCCAAACCTTGACGAGACACGTTAATTTCTGAGTTGACTTGGTGTGTCGGGGCCTGTGTGTGTGATGTGGATGAATGCAGTAATTAAGATTGTGACATAATTTTTAAGTTGGGTTGGGTCTAGCTGACAAAATAAAAGCTTTAAACTCAACTCTTTAAGAATGTACATGTATAATTTACACGTAATAATGGCTCTTTCTATAGATGTGCAAACCTCTCTCAGCTGATTTGACATGTTGTAGACACATTAGTTTTGCACTTCACCAGTAAATTAACAGAAGAGAAAATATTGCTCCCTTGCCAGAAGTTTTAAACATAGAGGAAAGTGCACATTGATCTAACAACATTAATATTTGTCATCATTGATAAAGTGAATGAACAGCCACGGATAATGCACCTGGCTGTGGTCAGTTTTGTGTAGAAGATGAATACTTTGACAGTGTGAGTGTTGTCCTGTGGGCTACCCGCTGAAGACTTGTACTTTAGCAGAGTTTTGTTCTGAAGGCTCTTCTTCACTTCTTCCAGAGGGAACAGGAAATGAGAGTGGGTGAGCTGGGCCCTCGTGGAGCCATTAATATGGGAGGTATGGGCATGACTGTGTAAGGACTGGTTGATGCAAAAACCAGATGAAGTGATGATAAGTGAATTATGACTGCCTTAATGTCATTTTACATTACTATTATTTGTCCTGCATCACAAGTGAGTCCTTACAACTAGATGTGTTTTCGGCCGGAGTGAGTTCTGTGACGGCCTTTCTGGTGTAAAATGGACTCACTTGGGATGCAGCGCAAAGGCGATGCAAACATACTATACCACATGACAACATAATGTCTGAACTAACAGAATATAGTGTACTTGAACGGGGTTGTTTTTTGTCGGGGTGGGGTTTCATAGTTTGAGAAATAGTTGGTCCCCGAGCTCTCATCCTGAGTCGTATGCAGAAATACTTTTCATTTGCAGGAACCAGCTGAAGATGTTCGACTGTTAATCACGATTTAAACGTCATATTTTTTTTATTCAGCTGGGAACAATTAGTAAAGTGTCTGTTCACTTTTATTAGGATTAGAAACTGATCTGCAGGCGCAGGATGAGGGGCCGGGGACCGAGGTTTAAGTCTGTGATACTATGAATGAGAACAGATTGTCGGAGGTTCACGGTGGCTCTTCACCACACACGGAGTAACCTAGGATTGCACATCACCTTTTATAAACAAAACCGCAGTGCCTCCATTTGTATTGACTTTTTAGCACGACCTTTGACCCAGTTGACGACGATATGATTTGAAGTGTGAGATTTCGTGGGTAATTTACTCGGAAGTCTTTCATCTTAGCTGCAGTTTTGACTGTTCTACCATGTTACTGTGTGAGTGTGTATGTGCATGCACATCTGTGATACAGATCGAAAATCGAAATTGTGAAACTCTACAGTAAATATGAAGCTGGTTAGCATAGCATAAAGACTGGCTAGCTTTTCTCTTTCTAGAGGCAACAATATTTGCCTAGCAACAGCTTTTTAAAGCTCAATATTACAGATGATATATTCTTTAGGACAGGATGTTAAACTTTGATGCTGGATTGACCCAATTGGTTTGATGCTATCAAGGATAGAAAACAGCTTCATCGTTCAATAGCAAGAGTGTAAAAATAAAACTAAAATTTGCACTGTAATGTGAATAGTAATTTTCTTTTTGTTAAAATAGATTTGATAAAATTGGTATCAAAAAGTGTCGTTAAGAATCGGTGTCGAAGTGATGCGGTTGGTTCTTGAAGTGTGAGTAATTTTCTCAGACATATTTTAAGTCTATATTTGTCAGTACTCAGGATCACTCTTGCCGCTCGGCAGCCATCTTGGCAGCCATCTTGGCAGCGCCCTCGGGCAGTTAATTTGGGCTAACAAGAAAAGGCTTCTACATCTAAATGAATAAGGAGCCATATCTNGTATATTTGTCAGTACTCAGGATCACTCTCGCCGCTCGGCAGCCATCTTGGCAGCGCCCTCGGGCAGTTAATTTGGGCTAACAAGAAAAGGCCTCTACATCTAAATGAATGAGGAGCCATATCTTCACTTTCAATGGTCACCGGGACATAAAAATAGCATGTATAGAACCATAAGTCAAGTTTACCTTGTTTACTGTGCAATTTTATACATTTCCCGGTTCTGCAGACGGTTTCAGGGAGGGGCGGGGCGTGTCCTATAACCGCCATCTTGGCGTTACGGGCTATCCTACTCAGGAATCTCTTAAGTGGCTCCTCTCTCCTTTATATTGCCTCTGGTAATGTAAGAAGGCGTAACCATTGCATGAAATAATATATGAATTCATTGCAATGTGTGTGTTTTTTTACGTTTTTTTTTTTAAGTTGCTTTTGATCCAGAGCCACTTGTGCGTATCTGTCATGTTGCCGCCCATTTCTCAGTGCTCCTGTTGTTGCGTTTCCTCGGTTGGATTCAGTTTCCAAACGGCCTTTTCAATAAGTCCCATCTTCATGAAGCTGCTCATTAAACTGTATCGCCGTTTGTATTCTGTAATTTGTGACGCTGTTAAATTGTAGTTTGTTATATTGAGAGGCGTTTCTAATATTGAAGTCACCCTTATTGATATGAATTATAAAGGCAAGCGCTCTTCGAGGGTGCGGTTTACATCAGTCGTCATGTTGCGTTACGAGTCTCGTGTGTAAAGTCTCTGCTAAAAGACTCTGAACATCAGACTCTGACGAAAACTGTTTGCAATGCTCCAGACCAGTTTTTACAAACACCTGGTCTTCAGTGTTGTGGGATACTGGTGATAATGTCCTAAGAATGCAAAAATGTCTCGACTCAAATATTTATAATGATCCATTTAATCAGTATCCAGTGAAGTAGTAGCAGTAGTGGAGCTATTCTGTAGCAGGGTTTGCGTTTGATTGGAACTGATCTTGTGATGTCTGTTATTTTAAAATAAATAAATTGTCCAATGTTGTTTTCCAACAACTCCATCTCCATATTCTCTGAAATTAAGGTGACGTGCAATCCAAGGGTTCGTTAGTAAAAAATATACGGCCGGTGCCACTTGGCCTCAAATTTAATCAATGAAAGTGAGAACCTCTCGTTCTGCTTAATACACAATCTGCTGTCTCTGTCTATTGTCTTTCATATTTCATGTGTAACATATTTCAGCACCTGTTAACTATTTTAAATTAACGTTGGTTTTTGGTTGTGAACGTCACGTATTTGTAGATTAACCAACAGAGCGTTGCTTCATCTTTTATTTATTTATTATTTATTTTTAAGTTCAACTTAAAGAGCTGAGCATGCAGTTAAGGTGCATTTTGAATGAATAATGTTTAAATACCAATAATAAATGGGGATGCACCGATCTGACTTATAGGTATCTGCTAATACCAAGTAATGATCTGATTCCGATGTTTTTGTTGAACATTTAAAATCTATATAACTGATTCACTGCATGGAGAACACGCTGGGATCACTCTTATACATGAGGCTATTCCTGTAACACAACTTATTTAACTTTAGGTGCGATCTTCCCAAACAGTCGTTTCTTTTTCTGTTGAAGTCTGTTAAATTATGTTGCTAAAATGCATCAACCTAAATCCAATTATTAGCCATACTAGCAGTGTTCCTACAGAGGTGGGAATGTCGGCTTGTCGGTGTCACAGATGGATCCTTATGACTTTGGCCGTACCCCGATAAAACCGTCTCGCCTCCTTGAGGATGAATTATAAAAGTTTTGCTTTGGTTTATGGCCAACTTCCTGCAAAGCTATTGACATTCCCTTTACCCTCCGCTGTTCTCTGTGTTCAATGCCAATTAGCAAATGTTAGCATGCTAACACGCTAACCTGGTGAACACATATAACATATACCCGCTAACATCAGCATGTTAGCATTATCTTTGTGAGCGTGTTAGCACCACTGTGTCTCACAGAGCTGCTGCATGGCTGTACACTCTTTAGTCTTGAGTTTTGATATTATGAAAGTTATTTTTCAGTGTTGGAATATATTTTCTGAGCTGTTTATCTTTATTGAGTTTCATCCGTGCAATGTTTTTAAAACACTTCTGATGTAACAGTAAATGGAAACCACTACCCACATAAAAATGAGTTATTATAAGGTTATTACGAGCAGAACGACAAACTGTATTCAGTGTGAATCTGTCGCATCTTGTTGAAACCGATCCAGTGCATCCCTCATCGTTTTAGCTCTTGACTAAAAGCCAACGTTAACTTTTATTTCTAAGTCAATGAGAATAGCGCTAGCGTTCAGCTACCACAGTTCTTACTGGGCGTTGAGTTCATCACATGGGACTACCGAATGACCAACCAATGCTCCGTTGTTTTGCGTGTAGATGGCTATAACCAGGCCAATGCGGGGCCCACTGGTAACCAGGGTCAAATGATGGGCATGAGTGGAAGGGGAGGAGCCATTGGCCCAGAGGGAACTGCAAATATGGGCACACCATTGATGCCAGAGAATGGAGCCATGGTAACGTATCTGGACGTTATCTTCGAGATCCAAGCCGTCTTTTGTCAAATATATTGGTAGAATATTTCCTAAAGCAGCAAATGGCACAAAATGTCTAGAACGTAGACGAATGTTTAGAACGTAGACGTAACCGTAGAAGCTTTGTACTGAAGCAGAAGCCAAAAAATTATTGAACAACTTGAAAATTGACCTTAAATCACTAATAGACGTATTTCTCTCTCTTTCTTTGTCTGCTCGGTTCACTTCTCTCCCATTTACTCTCGGATGGCGACACTTGGATCAACCCTGACTGATGAACTTTGATAACCCCATCGCTTTGTATTCATGCTCATGCTTATAATACAATCTCACGCCACCCCACCACCCTTTTGTCTTTTTTTAACGATGACTGCATGATACCACAGCGAAACGATAGATACCCGCAGGGTGGATCAATGGGGGGCCGGCCAGAAGTTGAGTCCCCAAAACAACAACAACAGCAGCAGCAGCAGCCACAACAACAACAACAACAACAACAACAACAGCAGCAACAACAACAACAGCAGCAGCAGCAGCAGCCGCCATTGGGGCCCCAAGTTGGACCAGCCCAAGGATTCGGCAGGGGGAGTCCAGTAGGGGGCGTCTTTGATGGGCCAAATAACAAGCGGCGCAGATACTAATTTCTTAAATGTTCTCATGGATCTTTGTTACTGTCCCCTGCCCAATTTTTGTTTTTGTTTTTTTGTTTTGTTTCTACATTGACGTAGTTGTTGACCTACTACACTCCCTGTCAGTTTTGTGTTTTCCACTGTGGGGCACTTATTTTGTGATTGATAAAATTGACGGTTATCTACACTGTTTATTTAAGCACACGTCTCTCCTCTGTTTTCAGAATAAAACTTTTTTGTGGGCACAAATAAGTTTCATAGCATGTGAAGAAAGGCCTTTTTACACTTTATTAAGCTGCTTCAGGGGAGAGTTAAACTGAAGGAAAGATTGGGCATTGGTCAGTCAGTCTGGGAAATGTTCATGGCAGTAAATCATCTTAATATCTACACTGTCATACGATGCCTTAGTTCATAGATTTTGTTCTTGTTGCATTTTGATTTGTGGTCCTCCCTTTAAACATACTCTTACTCTCGGCTGATGTAGATGTTGAATCACACAGTGAGTGAAAGTTGCAGCTTCAGTGCATCCTGTATTTGATGGCGACGAGAAATAAAACATTTGTAGGACGTTGTGTTTTCTTTGTGATTGTCTCTTCTACCATGAACTTGTTGGTAAATAAACAAAATCTCTCAACCTCTCTCCCACAACCACCCGTCATCTGATTCTCACATACTCAACCCTCTTGTCGTGTTTGACAGTTGGACGCATCTTTTAAAGCCGCAGGTGCGTTCTGATCCAGAACGGCTAAAAAAAACCAGGTGATATCCAAAATGTAATATCTCGATACAGTTCAGACCAAATATCGCGATATACGATATTATCGTATTTGTTTCAGGTGTTTTTTCTTTTTCTTTTTCTTTTTTCTTAATATATAATTATATTGTTGTATTTTATGTTTCAGGTGTAGGCGATGCTGTGGTTTCGGCTGACTGCGCAGCCAAATCAGACGTACTCTCTGGTTACTTCAGTGAAATTGGTCAAATTGAAAATTTGTTTAAATGTTGTATTTAGCATTTACCTGACACCTGATGAAGCCCAGTTTTATAACTGACATGTCAGATTTGATCTGTTAATGTATAATCTTTTGATCTTTTAAAACTTCCACATGACCAATGTTTAACTTCCTCTACAATTTGGTCATAAAATGTGAGAAGAATTAGAAGAATTAGACCGTCCACTGCTGTTTGCTGTCCAGTGTCACTCAATTGTGCCATGCATTTTTTTAAAACTATCAAAATGTTTTCTGTTGTAAGTTTTGTCAAGGCAACAATATAGTATCTTCATAGTGTGAGTGTCTGGGTGTCTGCAAGGTGTGTGTGTGTGTTGGCTGCAGTTGTGTGCATAATCAATCTTCTGTGCATCATTTAAAACAAAACAAAACATGGTCCTGGCTCTCTGTGTGTGGTTGACCGTACAAGCGCTTCCTTTCACTGGATCTGGGGAATGTGATAAACCCTGACCAGGTGTCACGGACGCTAAAGAATAGATTTATACCAGGTAAATACATTTCATTTCTTCCTTTTCTTGTACCGTAAAACACACAAAGTACTTCTGCATATTCCACCTGGACTACGTGTCTGTCATGCACCTTGCCTTTCCATGTGTATGTGCAGTTCATTTATCAAAATGAGTCATTGCTTAATGCATCAGCGTAATAACGTCCCACAGTTCTGCCACAGTTACAGGTGGTGGTGGGTGGGCGGGGGGGCTGGAGAACAGCTGTGTCATTTTTTCCCACTAACACATTAACGTTTTGATTGTTGTAAGTGTTTTTTAAATGTGAGGTTGAAGAGACTGAGCAGTTTCCAGAGGTTTCAGAAAAGCCACACAGTTGAGATGCAGTGAAGAGTGAAAGAAAGAAGCATCTCCTGATGATTTGAGTTGTTATTAGATAAAAAAAAAAACTAACGAGGAAGCACGAAACAAGTGCTCCTGATGCACAAACGCTGTGTGTTGGTAATGAAATAAAATCTTTTTAGACTTTTTTACTTTGAAGAAGCGGTGTGACTTGAATTTCTGGGAATTCATTCCTTCAATTTTTTTTTTTTGTGGACGTTGGTGTATGTCCTGTCAGCAGCTTGGTCCCGTAGGTCTCATGTCCGCTGTCATCTAGTTCATCTGTATCTTACACAGATATTCCACAAGCTACATTAAGTAACACACAGTTTATGAAATGTCACTTTTAGACTGAAGCTCAGTGTTAAAAGAATATTTGTTTTAAATTGTCTTCGTTCTTATCTCTTTATAGGTCCTGTTTGTTTACGGCCTCCAGTGATGGTGCGGACAAGGAATAGGTAACACACACACACACACACCTCTACATGTCCGATATATTATGTTTTAAAAGTTACAGACTCAGACAGGTACAAGTAAAACTCTGTCCTGGTGGAGCGTTAGTTAAACTAAGCCCTGGTTTAATAAATATAATTTAATAAAGTTTATTAATATAGCACTTATGAAAATTACAAAGGGCTTCACAAGGATAAAATAACAAAACAAGCAACAAACACATGCAAGATAAAAATAAAAACAATAACAATTAGCAATTTAAAAGAATATGGGAAATATTTAAAAGAGGTTATTCAAAAGCATTGTGACAGAAATGTGTTTTTTAGAAGCGATTTAATAGAAGATACAGATTTTTGCGAGTCCAAATTAATCGGGCAGCTTGTTCCAGAGTTGAAGGTTATTAAATAAGAGCGACTTAAATGACGTTTGTACAACTTGAGTTTGATCAGTGAGTGATTCCACAGGTAGGTTTTTCAAAAAAATATTGTTGTATCCACATTAAATAAAGATGATTTTTAAAACCCTGTGTTGTTGATGCCTCTGATTTAATGGTTGTAAATGATTCACTGTAGATTTTTGCTGAAAATCACTGTTTTCATTTTCAGATTTTGTTCTTGACATTATCCAACTGACTGCACTTTCTGTGTCAAAGTTATCAGGCTTTTTTTGTTCAGCTGTTTGAACTGAAATAATAAATGAGATCAGATGCTGTTACAGTCAAGTAAATTAGAACCAAACGCTTAATTAGTTAATTAGGTCGTCTCTGTAATTGATGTACAAATATAATTGTTATGCTGCAGCAGATTGTGCTATATTTGTATCATGTACTGTACCTTGTGTGTGGTTCATCTGCAGAGGTAGTGAAGGTTATTGATTCCCTCATTAGGATCCTCTCCTCACTTCATCAACAGTCTCACTCGCTCATCTCTGCGCGAGGTGACTGAATATGATACGTGACGAGGCGCGCGGGACGACTTCAGTCTCCAGCCTTTGATCCACTCACAATAAACTGATTGATGTTTTAAGGTTAGAAAAGTGTGTTTTGTGGCGGGGAGGTCGGGAGCCGGCGAGGGGGGGGAGGTGTTGCTTTTCTTTGCCGTGCCCTAGGCTGTTCATTATCAACACGAGGGAAGGTAATCATTGAAGTGATCCAGTTTTAACGGGGCTGATTGCGGCCAATTTGGGGAACGAATACTCGGTGTCTCTGTTCTTCACTTTGTGGCCTCGTTCTTCTTTAGCCCAGTTTGTGGCCCACTTTTTTTTTTCTAGAGGGACAATTGATTTTGGGGCAATAGTTATTTTTCCTTTGTAAAAAAAAATGTTCCCCTTTAAAATCCACCTCATCTAGATTTCCTTCTTCCATATGATCAAATATTTACTTGTAATAATAACGTGTGGACCTGCGTTTATCTCATTCTTCACTACAGCTCGTTTATATCAGCATCAAAAAATCAAAAGATAATGTCTGTTTGTAGTTAATTGAAGGAGAATCTAAGGTTTTAATGCCCTACATTACATCCCTATGGCCTACATTACAGTCACTACTATTCACGACTGTTTCCCAGAGACGCTTGAATCTAATAACGTGGCCTCCGACTGATGGAGAGCCTGGAGCTACTGTACTGACAGGGAGCATCAGACCCGTAATCTGATAAACGTGCGTCTATTGGATCTAAATAACGTCTTTTAGTGCAGAAAAAAAAATGTTCCCAGGATCCTTCTGTGTCCATCTATACTGCTTTGAATCTCTGTTTTTAAACCTCCGCTTGCTCCTGCAGAACACGTAATAACTCCGCGTGTAGATAAGTGTGGAAGTGGAAGGGATTTGATTCATTTCAAAATGTCAAAGTGTTTCTACACAACCAAGTAAGGAACTGATCCACGTTTTATGTGTTGTATCTTATGCATGCAACAAATATATATTCATTTTTGTTCGGGCCACAGAAACCTGCAGCATGTTTTTCTACATAGTTACTTGCGTTTGGTGGAGCTCCCTGTTAAACCTCTCAAAGACTCAGTAACAGAAATCCTAATAGACTTATTTGGGATTATATGAATATACCTTTTTTTTCAGTGGCGGCAAATAAGGATAATTTAGACTATTATTAAACAAGTGAAACAATATATTCAGATATTAAGATGTTAATATGTATGTAACACTAGCATGTTTAACTCTGCATGTCAACTTCAACACCGGAGGAGGAGTTCAGGGGAAGAGGAAAATAGAACCATGATTGTTCAATTGTGAACGTTAATATTTTTCAGTTTTATTCATCATAACAAAAGAGAAATGTTTGTTTTGCTCACAGACATCAGTGATTTGCAGTCTGATCAATAAAACGTTGATTGACATCAGGGTGAAATAATTTGGTGTCAGGAACTAAAGCAGAAGTTGATCCCCAGAGCAAACAAACCTCACCTCCTCTGTCGTTGTTTGTGTCAGTGTACATCTGATTGTGTCTGTGGAGTGGATGGAGTAATTTGGTTAAAAATAGTTGGACCTATTTTCTTTTACAGCGTATTGGCGCCGCCTCCGTTCTGTGCGTAAAGACGCATTAAGAAGTGGCACAGCACCTGATAATCCAGACAGGAGGTGCTTTGGTTACAGCACAGCCTTTCACTGATGGTGAGGAGACAGAACTGTTGGATCAGCTGAACTATTTTATTATTATTAACTTCTTTTTTTTTTAATTCATCTGAACTTTCCTCCTTTCTCTTTGCGTCCTTGGTTTCAGACTGAAAGTTTTCAGTGACTTCCTCCGAGCTTGTGTTGAGATGGTCTCTCTCTCCCGGAGACGGAGGTTATTAATGGGATTTCTCTCTCCCCTGCATCACCTGAGGACAGCGGCACAGTGAGCCGGAGGGCGTCTGGAGGCTGGATGGACAACATGTCTCCACAGCAGCAACAGGACAGTCTCAGCCGAGGCGGAGGACAGCAGGAAAACAAACGGGTATGGTTTTTTATTTTATTTTTTTATTTTAAAGTGAAAAGATCTGTCTTGATTTTAATTTTTAAGGACGCAAATTATTCCCTCATTTATTTCGGTTTAATTAACTTGTAAATGAGACCGTGCAGTTTGTTTAAAGGCAGATTCTTTTAGACTCATTTACCGGGTGAATGTGAGAAAAACGATCGTATTTGAAAGAGGCCGTTGTGTCGTCGGGTGAAGGGTGAGTTCAGGGTTCAAGGCTTTTTACTCAAGTCACACCCAATGACCAACAGGAAGTGGATCACCACAATAAAGTTCATATACCGTCAATAACGCACCAGTTATTGGTGATTAATAGCCAATAATTTAGTTAAAGTAAAACAAAGCAGATTACTACTTACCTAAAAGTACTGTAGTAACATATTTCAACCAGGCAAATGATCATTAATAACCAATCAATAAATGATTTCTATCAGATTAGTTGATCTTAAAGCATCTGCTTTATACTGGTGACTGTGACTGACAGATGACATGATGTTCATCTGAGGAAGACGTCCAGCTGAAAAATGTCAGCATAATAATATTATGTAAACCTACATATTATCTTTCTGTTCATTTTATTAATTGATTAATTTGTTGATCGGTTAGTCAGTCTGCTCTTTAGAGGCAGTAAGACGCCAGAGTAATGTACAGAAATCTGTCAGGCTTCACTGTACCGTGTCCTTGTTGTCGTCAATGATTGATCCCACATGTTCTCCAGCGTCTCTCTGGTGCCATGACAAGTTTTGGCTGTATGAATAAATACATTGATCACTGGGAATGTGCTGTTTTGACCTGAATTGAACCCGAGTCCCCTGAGTTAATGAAACAGCCCAGAGATGTTGTTACCACCAGTGAGAATCAGTTAGAGTAATAAGTTAGATGAGGCTCGTTTCTGCAAACACTTGGTTTTCCATCTGTGACTTAGTGTTGTGACACAGTCAATTACATTAGAGCCGATCTGGTGTTGGTCAATAGACTTGTTTCCCAGCAGAAAACCCATATCTCCATGTCAGCTTATGTTGGTGTATTTTTAGGGCTGAAATGTGACATTGTAATGTTGTGGCTGGAGCGTAAGGAATGTTTCACCACTGTGTGACCTGGCTAAATCAATGATATTACATTGTGAAATGTCAAAAATGTGTGGACGTGCTGCTGTAGGATGGAGGAAGATTGATCATTTCTCACTCTTTTAATTTGTTTGGACTTATTAAAGTGTTTAAAGATCTGCAGACAAATGGGACTCAAATATCACAACAACTGCTGGATGGAGTAACATCTGTACATGTTCCCCAGATGATGATTAGTCCTGCTGACTTTTTCCTGTAGCGCCACCATCAGGTTAAGGTGTAGTTTTGAGTGACACTCAACTTTTGTCAGAACTAAATCCAGTTATTTTTAAGAGCAGTTTGTGTCTTAACCATTAGCTTCCCTTTGGTTTGTGTCATGTGACCCTCACCATGCACGCCGCAGCGGTCCATCGGAAGGCTCCCACTTTGTATTTAGTGCTAATTAGCAAATGTGAGCATGCTAACGTGCTAAACTCAGTTACTGAAAATTGTAAACACTGTACTTAGCATGCTGATGTTAGCATTAAGCTTGTGCAGCCTCACAGAGCTGCTAGCATGGCTGTGAACGTGGTGTTTACACACATCTGTAACCTGCTGGTACGAGATGAAGTGGAAAACCGTATTAAATCTTAAAATTTATTTTAAAAAAAAGAAGTTAATTTCTCTAAAGCAGAACAGAATCAAACTGAGTCTGTTTTCACCTTCATGATGCAGCTGAGCTCGGGTTTGTCCTGGAGTCGCTGTGGTTACAGTGTTACTTGCTAACTGCCATTAATTATCACATTTCAAGGTAGACAGCTGCAGCGAGACGGACAGATACTTCACTGTATTCAGACTTGTTCGCATCATGATCCAGTCTGGATAAAATACAGATCCACAGATTTAAAATTTTCAATCTTGAAAATACTGAGACTGCACATCAGGCCGATAAAAATTAGGTGACCGTGTCTCACAGTGTGTTAATCTGACATACAATGAAAGAACTGTGGTTATATAATGGTGTTTTCTCACCCTGCTTCGCACTCGCAAATCCCTCTACAATTAGATTAAATGAAACTTTAATGATTGCCGTGGGGAAACTAGGATAATAGGATCCAGCAGAGAAAAGTAGGGTTTTGGTGGGGTGCAGAACAATGGGAAGAGAGGATTAAATCAATATATTAATATCTAGTCTTACAGCATTTCAACTGTAGAGACTTTTCTAATGATTGTGTATTATGACAACATTAAGCAGTGATGAATATGTGTACGCTGTAGCACCACAAATATGCAAAATTATGTAACGTGAGGGTCCGATACATGCTGGGTTATGACACTTAAACATGCTTAAACTAAGATTTATCCAGTATTTTCTCTGCAGCAAAGTCACTTTTGACTGAGTGGCTGAGGTGTGAGAAAGGTCAGAGACAGACGGGAGCTGCCGCAGACTGTAAAATGTCGTCACCCTAAACTAATCTTCATGCTCCGGCATTCCTCTGTGTTTAAATTCTCCTGTTTCAATCTGCCGTTTTGGAGGCCACGGTCAGTCCGAGTGCCGTGATGAATGTGCTGAACATCAGGACGCTTGTGTAACGGATGAGGAGAGTGTAAACATGATGTAAACATGGAGTAACTCGCTGGCGGGATTTGAGCCTCTTTAGTTTGGCAGCAAAGGAAAAGAGAAACTGATGATGTAAACAGTGTCTTAAAGATGATTTTACACTTTAGAGTGGAGACTAATGGGAAAGACAGACCTCACAATTGTTCCTGTTACTGATCTCCGTCACTTAACGCGCTCTTTAACTTTGTTTCGTCTCTTTTAGCGGCTGAAGTGTCAGAGTTATCGCCGTCAGTCTGCTCCGTCTCTGGTCATCACCAAGGCTCTCACCAGGTCCAAGACTCTCTCCAGGTACTGGCTTTACTTCTGGCCCAGTTTGTGTTCACACTGACTGTTTACACACAGAACAAGATGAGTAAACATGAGCTCGTATGGATTTGTACATTAGCTCTGAAAGTGGCATCAATCTTATTAAATGCAGGATCTCTAGAACAGGAAGCGGCTCAGTTGTGTTTATGTTGTAAGTCTACCACCAGATGTGCGCTGATGTTCAGTGTCAACACACAACAGTCGGTCAGTTAAAACATCCTCACAAACAGACCTCATGCGGTTCTCTCACACAGAGGTCACATGTGCACACACACACACACACTCACATGCCCTGAGTGAGGTGTTGAATCCACTCTGGTAGATAATCCCTCTGTAACCAGACTTATCAGAGGATCAGGCAGCTATTAATAGTGTCTGTCTTTGAACATATGGACTGGGAAAGTGAAGAGGAAGTAAAACCCCCCCCCCCCCGGACAATCAGCCGTCACCCCTGCTCCCGAACACGGAGCGAGGTGATGGTGTGAACGTGTGTTTTATGACATAACTCTGGACACGGTTAATGCAACAGAGAACACAGCTGATGGGCAGTATGTCGCAGTCATCTGAAATCACGTCTCTAATCATTTGTTAATCTCTGTTTTCTGCCGTTTCTGCTCTTTGATTTGGTTTGAATTTGTCTTGAGTGCAAGTGAAGGAAGCATCGATGCGTTTTAGAGAAATTAAATGACTTCTTTACACCTTTTTAGTTATTTTTTGGCTTTATTCTGACAGGTGCAGTGAGAGAGACAGGGAAGTCAGTCAACTTGCATTGGAAAAGCATCAATTTAAAGCTGCAGGTCTAATTTTACTGTGACTTTAGATTTGACTTTCTGAAACTCTCTCCCTGACCTCTTACTGCTCTCGACTCTCCGCCTAATCACACGTGACTTGACAGCACGTAACACAGTTCACATAACGAGTGACTTCGATGTCGGGTCAGTCTCGGTTGAATCCAGAACACAAGTCAAATGGGGATCATGCAAACTCAATGTACATATCTGTCATCAGTGGGGGGAGATAATTAGTGTGTGGTGGTGGTGAAGGGAGAGAGACAGAGATCTGAAGTGGATAATCTAATGAAAGAGGCCGTGGACACCCATCGTAGATGTAGATAAACTAACGCTGTAAACCTCAGAACAGCTCCTTATATGACAGAGAGGCTTGGACCAATGAGTTAGCTGCTGCTTAGCATTACCAGTGAGTCACGCTGAAGCAAAAGCAAGTTACAGTATAATAAGAGAGTGGAAACATGACAGCGAGGATATCACTGTGTCCTGTGTGTGTGACACGCTCAGTGTTTCAGCTCCGCTCTGAGTCAAAGATCAGACTCACATACCTGCATTAATCACCATGTCACCAAGACTCAACATTAGATTTTTTTAAAGAAGCCTCATCCACATATGACGGGACTTTTTTGCTGTTCATCTGAAACTTTTCAGAAAACATGAAGCAGAAGTGGTTTATGAGAAATGTGGTCTGAGATGGAGATTCCCGGCGGCCTCGTGTCGGTTAATTTGACGTAGTTGCATCGAATGAAAACAAGCAGCATGTTGAGTCTGTGCTCAGTTCGAGCGTCAGTGATGTGGCCCCTGTGTGTTTTGTGTTTCAGAGAGAGCTTCCTGGTTCCTGTGTGTCCAGAGACCTGTCCATTGGTCCAGTCCTTTCTCGGCGGCTCCGACAGGTCGTTTCTCCTCCACGGACACGCGCAGCTGAAGACGGGGATGCAGACTCAGGACCGACACCTCTTCCTGTTCACCGACATCCTGGTCATCGCCAAAGCCAAGTAAAGCACGAGTTTAGGAACATTTTGGCTGCTCCTTGGGTCATTCACCGCTGAAGTAGGTTAATACCTGGGTCTAAGGTTAAAATTAGAGCGTGTGTGTGTGTGTGTTTGTGTTCCCAGGTCAGCCAACCACTTCAAGCAGAAGGCACAGGTGTGTGTGTGTGAGATGTGGACGGCAGGCTGCATGGACGAGGTGTGTGAGGGAAGCACCAACCCCGACAGGAGCTTTGTCATGGGCTGGCCCACCTCCAACTGTGTTGCAACATTTAGGTAACACACACACACACACACACACACACACACAGACTGTAATAACGTGTGATGTTCTTTGATGTTTCTACTTCATGTTCCCCTCAGCTCCACGGAACAGAAAGAGAGATGGCTCTCCACCCTCAGAAGGTAAACTCTGCCTTCAGGCATCAGCATGAAGTACTGAGTGTGTGTGTGTGTGTGTGTGTGTGTGTGTGTGTGTGTGTGTGTGTGTGTGTGTGTGTGTGTCAGGACAAATCTCAGCACTTTGTTTTTCCCTACAGTCGGATAAAAGAAGAGAAAGAGAAGGAGGAGCCTAAGACCATCCCTCTGAGAGTGTACGGGAAGGGAATCAACACTTTTGCTGTTGTAAGTTTATTTTAACGTTTATCCTCCATCTTTTGTGTGTGTGTGTGTGTGTGTGTGTGTGTGTGTGTGTGTGTGTGTGAGATACTTTCCCTGCAGTGTAAAGTGATGTCCTGCTGATGTTGTATGTGAATGTCTCCTCCCATTAGACCAAGACGCTTCCTGTCAGCAACTCAGACTCGACCAATGAGGTGATCCGACTGGCTCTGCAGCAGTTCGGCATCATAGTGAGTATCAAGGCTCTTAGTGCTTAATCAGTTATTTAATTGACTTTTGAAAACATGAAATCTAAAGATGCACCTTGGACTCTTTGGAGACTGTGACGGGCATTTTTCACAGTATCCCAACATTTTATAGAGAAATGAGATTAATAAAAACAATTAACACAGTGTTGATAATTAAAAAACATTAGCTGCACGTTCCTTATGAGGAAGGTTGAACAAAATAAACAGCTTGAAGTCAGTCTGAGTCTTCAAGGTTGATTTAGGGCGTCTCTTAAGTCATCTTAGCACCAACCACCTGCCTTTGCATGAAATTGAATAATGTTGTGATATAAATATAGATATCAATATCTTACACCAAATTATTATCAATAAAAAAAAAGGAACAAAGAAGTTTGAGTCTTCAACTTCCGCTCTGAGTTGAGTTAAATCAGGACTCGGTGCTGTAACACTGATTTGAAGACTGTAGCATTGAGATTGGCTCGTCACTGTTTTATGGGACGTTATAGAGCAATAAAAGATAAAAAGATTACCACCGTAAATTGTAGAATAACATTTTACAGAGACAACAGTTCATTAAAAAAGTAATTAATCACTGAGCTGCAGCTGTAGACGGCTGTTTCTTGACACTGTTTCCTAAATACGAGTGTAATTCACATTTATGAGAGAAGTTTCAGTTGTTGAAGCCTTTAGGTGTTTGCGTAGTTTCAGATTTATTGGTGCAGCTCGGGCTAAAAGCAGCGGCGACATCTTCTTCACCAACCAGCCCAAACACAAACTACAAATCTTTTACCCCGAGCCCCGTGGTCTTCCTCCTCTCCTCAGCTGCACAAGTTCCTTGTGATGTAAACAAACAGCATGTGAAAAACTGGACGTGAATACGATTCATTGATACATTTCTCCCCGCTCTGCCTGATGTGGTTTTTTCCGATGACTTCCTGTCCCACGAGGCCTCGTAGTGTTTGCGTCTTGTGTTTTCTGACTGTGTGTTTGTTTTGTTCAGGGAAATGTGAAAGACTTCCAGTTGTGGGTCATCTCCAAGAGGGACAACACCCCCTATCCTCTGATAGGTCAGTGAGGTCCACGCTAGTTTGTCAAGATATCATCAGATCCTGTTGTAGTGAAATTATCGCTCATGTATCAGATTGTGTTTGTTCACCTCTGTCGCGGGGTCAGGGACATAAACAGGGTGAGATGTTGTTTAGACACTGGTACCATTCACTCCCAGAAAAGAGTGTGATGTCGCTCGTGGCAGCGAGTGTTTACTGATTAATGTTATACAACAGCTGTTTCATGCTGTCTCCTCCTCTGTCTCAGGTCATGAGTTTCCCTTCAGCATCCAGATGAGCCATGTGAGACACAACACGTCCCAGGGTGGCGGTGGCGGCGGTGGAGGCAGGGACGCCGCCGCACCGCCTGCGGACAGACAGAAGGCCATGCAGGTGGAGCAGCTGCAGGTGTACAAGCAGTGCCAGTTCATCCTGAAGCCACGGCCTGTTGAAACGCTGCAACAGCACTTACCTGCAGGTGAGCGTGTCCGCTGTGTCGTTTGTCTGAATGAAAAATGTTGTTGATGTTGAGTGTTTATCCTGAAGCATTCTGGGATACCGTGTTGTCTTTTCAGACTGGTGTCAGAAGCCGTTTAAAAGGAGGCGCTCCCTCATCACCTGGGCCTTCTGGCGAGGCTCCTCCTCTCACCTGAACGAGCTGTCCCTCGCCAGCGCGCCCCGCGGCTGCCTGTTCGCCCGGCCGCTCAGCTCCGTCTGTGTGGAGGACGCTCTGCCAAAGCCGGTCATGGTGAGTGACACACGCTACACGGACAAAATCGCTTTATGGTCACGTTAAATACGAGTTCATGACTGGAGCTACATCAGTTTTCAACATGATCATTGAGTTAGAAATTAGTTTCTCATCTCATTCTCTAAAACCAGACATTTGAACGTTTATACACTCTGGAAACATTTAAGAAGAACTCACGTTTGGATGAGGAAGAAGTCTTTAATAATAGTGGTAATTAGGGCTGAATAATTAATATTGAAATCGTAGCATTTCCACATTTTGTTTTGATTAAGGTAAAGTGAGTCGCAACAAACCATAAATGAAGCTGAAATAAATCCTGTTCTCCAGACAGAAAGGAACAAGAACAAAAATCACATCATCATTTTCAGTGAAAATAAAATGCAAAATAATTGTAATATGATTTTATTTGCATATCGTTTAGCAATATAACTAATAGTACAAGCAGCAATTTGCAGCTCACAGTATTTTGCTTTTTGCTTTGCTTTTTGCAACTCTCTCCCTCACTCGCTCTCCTCTTTCACCAGGACATGTTGGCGTTTCTGTACCACGAAGGTTCGTGGACACGGGGGATCTTCCGGCGGCCGGCGGGGGCTCGGGCGGTCAGGGAGCTGCGGGACTCTCTGGACGCCGGCGTGTTTCAACTTCCTCTGACACGTGAACACGTCTTCATCATAGCCGGAGTCTTTAAGGTAACGAGGATGCGTGTTTGTAGACGTGCACTTCAGCTAAAGATCAGTTGGTAAATTAAAAAATGTTTATTTTTCTCCCTTCACGTTAATCTTATAAAGTCTGACTTGTTTATCTTGAGAACTGTTTGTGTTTGTATTTGTGTTAATTACCTTAGTGACCCACATCTGTAAGCACAACATTAATCTGCTTCCGTCCTGCGCAGCCTCAGTGTGACACGCCGCAGCTACGTTAGCAGGACAAACTGTTCACAGCAGAGGCGCTGAGGTTGTCTTGATCATGTAATCTGGATTATAATCTCTTTATTATCTGCAGGGATTACACACACGAGCGCCTAAACTATGTCACGTCTTTACACAGCAGAACAGAGATCTCTCATGTGTAGTCACGGTATTGTCTCAAGTCAGTTTTAATGCAGATTACTCTCAATCATACAAAGCGGGACAATGCACAATGACTCACAGAGAGGTTTTTATTCTGAGTGACAGATTCTCTAACATAAGTCGTCCTGATTCACTGCTGTGTGTGTGTGTGTGTGTTTTCAGGATTTCCTGCGCAGCATCCCGGGCAGCTTGCTGTGCTGTGAGCTGTATGAAGAATGGATGGATGTTCTGGAGGAAGAGGAGGAGGAGAAAGAACAGGTGCAGGACATAAAGAGGTAACACACACGCGACATCCCTTAACTATTGGAGGGCGTCCATGTTTCCCAGAAGCCTCTCCTTAACCCCCGACGTGCCTTCCTGCAGGATGACCTGTCGGCTGCCCAAAGAGAACGCCCTGCTGCTGCGCTACCTGTTGGCCGTGCTGCACGGTATCCGGGGAAACGCCCACGAGAACCAAATGACGAGTTTCAACTTATCGGTGTGCATTGCTCCCAGCATGCTTTGGCCTCCCGGAGCGCCTTGCAGCCCCGAGGTGGAGGGAGAAGGAGCTAAGAAGGTAAGACATTGTACCTGATGCAGCTTTGACACACGCCTGTTAAAAAAGATCAGTAATACACTGAGGAATCTGACCTAGACACAGTTGGCTGCTCCTGCTTTACTGACTCTGATTGTTACGTTGCAACACAATGAAATAAATCTGTCTAAGCCATCTCACAGCTCAGAAACAAAGAGACGTCTGTTAGTTTTGTCTGCACACCACCAGGTTGCCGTCCCGACAAACACTTCACCTCCTGACCCTTTAGTACATACAGTCAGTAAACAGGCGTAAGTGACTGTGTTGTAAGTTTTATTCACACGAAACGTTGAGCTGCCGAAACTTGAGTGTTATTGTTGGAACAAGATATTTTTGTTTGTTAATTCCTGTTAATCTGTTTATTGTATCACATCAGGCTTATCTCACAGGAATGTCTCAAATCAGCTTCATAGGAACTGTTTGACTTTTTGAACAAAGTGTGAGGCGTTGTAAGGAGATTAGAGAGACACGGTGCTTCCAAGCCGCCATGAGAAATGCTAAAACAATCGTTGCATTGTTGACGTGTTTCTTATCTTGTCCTTGTCTGCTGCTGCTGCTGCTGCTGCAGGTTTGTGAGCTGGTGAAGTTCATGATTGAACACTGTCAGCAGATTCTAGGAGAGGAGCCCTCCTCTCTGTTCGGAGGGCCGCCGCAGAGACGCAACGATGACGAGATGGGATCAGGTACAGACACATCTGTTTGTGTGTATTTAAAATAGCTCCTTTAAAGTCACAGTGAAATAGAAGTTAAAGCACCAGGATGAGTCATTAATAATATTTAAATTTTTACATGTAGACAAAAGAGGATTTCTATTTCTAGTTTACTTTAAGTAAAGTTTACAGTTAGCTGTTTCCTGCTGTCTTCCTACATCTGTCTCATTCATGTCCTGTCCTCTCTCTCTCTCCTCTCTCTGGACTGTTAGACTGGATTTACCCTCTGACCGACTCGTCCTACGACAGTCTGGAGAACGAGTTGGACAACAGCAGTGGGGGGTCGCCCGGTTTCTGCAGCAGAGACCACCTCCGAGCTAAACCGCTTCAGGGCAGCCTGGACTCCATCCTCACCTTTAGTGACTACGACCAGGACACAGACGCAGAAACACGCCGCAGCCAAACCGACAATCTGCACGGTCTGAACTTACACCCGCTGGAGAGAACCAGAGGCAAGAGACAGGACCCAGACCTGTCCAGCCCCAGCCCGGCCTCACCGACCGCGGACACCTCCGCCACCCTGGACTCTCTGTGCCTGGACGGTCTGCGCAGACAGAGGCGGCGCTCCGAGCCGGCTATAGCATACATGGCCAAGTTTCGCCCGTGTGTTTTGGGGAGTACCGATGGTCTGACCGGTGAGGATGAGGATGGCGAAGAGGAGCTCTCCAAGAAGCCCAGCAGCCACACGCTCGCTCGCATATACTCCAGAGGTCAGACCAGGATAGGAAGAGAGTCTGGGTCAAAGCTGTATGGTGGGAGGACAGCAGCTCTGGAGGCCAGCTCCTCCAGCCTCTCCTCAACCCCCACCTCCCCTGCACCAACCCGCTCCTCCCTCGACTCCCTGGACTCCATCAGCAGTGACCACACCTGTGCGACCAGACGGGGGCTTGTACCGCCCAAGACACACCTGCCCTCCAACTGCACCTCTGTGTCGTCTGCAACCTTCACCATCAGCTCTGCGCTGACCTCCAGTGGATCTCCAGACCTGGGGACTACTACAAAAGACTCCCCACCCAAAGAACCACTCAACTGGGGGACTTTAAAAGGCTGCAGGGGCCTCCACCCGAACTCCTGGCTAAAGAAGGGCCGTCGACTGTCACTGACCCAACAAGACAACTTAGAGAAAGAGGAGGAGGACAAGACTGGGGTGAGTAAAATAGTCACTTAATCTTATTAAGATTGGAGCATTTACATTACATTGAAAGGATTTGAAGTCTCAGTTAGTGCTGAAATTAATAGGTGATCAATTAGTTAATTGATAGGTTTAATAACTGGTTGTTTTAGTCATTTAATCAAGGAAAATTACAACATTCACTGAATCCAACTTAATGATTGTGAATTGAATATTTTTATACATGCACAGACACTTTTCACCATTTAATAGACTAAACGATTAATTGACAGAGTAGTTAATTAAATCAATTGTTGCAGCTTTTATTAAGGCTAATTCTATATCTTGTCACAATAAACTGGTCATCACGTTATAGTCACTAACAGAAATGTTTTAAGTAACACTTCTTGCACAATAAAAGCCTTTTAACAGCTCAATTAGCATCATCTCCTGGAGGGCTTTTAATTTGAAATTATGATTGTATTGTAGTAGTATTTCTGTTTTAAGGAGAGGAATTTACTAATGATTCAGCTTTAAACTGCGTCAATGGAGAGGAGCTAAAGGTGAGTGACCAACAACAGTTACACTGCCAGACACATCACACATTAGTTCCAGACCTGCACACATGAGGGCACTCTGACCCAACAACTATAAGCAAGGGGTGATTAAAATCCCATCCTGCTTTAAAGGGATAGTTGGGGTTATTTGACGTGAGGTAATCAGTGTGTTACCTGCAGTAGATTGAGATCAGAGCGCTGTCAGTTAGGAGAAGCAGCAGGAAACACTTTAAATGGAGCTTCATGTAGAATATGTTCAGCAGTTTATCTTCCATTTTTCAACCACTGAACTACTGTATTCCTACACATGGTGTTAGTCTGCAGCTTGTGTGTAGGATTACGGTAGTTCAGCGGTTGGAAAAATGCAGCGCCAAAGGAAAGTCATGTTTTCATAGGAAGATAAGCCGCTGAAAATATTCAAATAACCAACTACCCCTTTAAACCAGGTTGGGATTTTAATCACCTGTTGCTTATAGCTGTTGGGTCAGAGTGTCCTTGTGTGTGCTGGTCTGTAATTAATGTGTTATCTGGGGTTGTGTGACATAATCCCATGTCAAATAACTTCAACTATCCCTTTAAAACAACAACAACAACAACAACGACTTCCTTACTGCCACATTTAAAGCCATGAGAAGCAGCTGAAAAGCCCTGAGCTGGATCTTCTTAAAGGTTAACACACTGTATGTTTCTACCAACAGGGAGCAGCCACTGACAAGATGCTCACACTTGGGAAACTTGCCCCAGAGAAAGGAGGAGGAAAGCTGAACTCCAGCAGCCAACAAAAGCCAAAAGTGTCCTGCAGAGCCACAAAAGACACAGGAGGAGGAGGAGGGGGAGGGGGAGGCCACGTGAAGGGGAGGCCTGGCCATGAACCCCAAAAGCCCCGATATCTTAAACAGGACTCACACAGCCCCCCTGCTCACCACCGCTCTACAGGGAGCCTCCATTTCCCCAAACCCCCCTGGCTCCATTCCTCAGACTCCCCGCCGGCAGTCGGCGACGTCACAGGAAGTGGAGTGAACGAGCTGAAGCAGCCATCACCGTCTCTGTTTTACAAGCAGAGCGGGCCGTCTCTGTCCCTGTTCAAGCGACACAAGTCTCACTCTGTGGAGGAGGAGGGGAAAGCCCGGCTCAACCAGCGCCGGGGGTCAGAACCTGGACGCCAGGTTGTGGAGCAAACCGCCACCCTGAGCCGGGCGAGGCTGCCCAGCGACCCGGGACTGAAGGTGTCGGAGGTGGATCCACAGGGAGAGCCGTCGGAGACCCGTTTCTGCCTCTCCCCCTACGCCACCAAAGCAGTGAGGGACTACTTCTCCTCGCACCCACGCAGTAACCCCAAGAGCAGCCAGCAGGTGGCGCTCGCCCTGGTGGAGAGTCGCAGGGAGTGGCTGAAGAGATGCAACGATCCCACATCTGAGCCCGACTTTGATCAGCTCCTGTTTGCTGAAGAGTCCTATGTCTGACTCTAAATAAAAGCACAACAGAGATCACTTCACAGAGTAACGATGGACGCTGGAGATGAACGACGTCTCTGCTGTTTTCAGCTTAAGGATGTAAATGTTGCAGCTTTCAAAAACACACACACATCTTTAACGTTTCCTTGCTTCATTACAAGCCAGAGTTCAAAGGACAGCTCGCATTAGACCTCAACACACACCGGCCTCTGTAGGGTTTAATACCTTGAGCTATTTGAAACCATGCAGTACATTATAATACGTTTTACCTTTCTATTTGTTCTAACAAGACAAACAGAGAGAGAGAGAAGACTGGACGCTTTTTTCCATTAAAAGAAATGCTACAGAAAGTTAATTAGTCTAAACAGATGGATTGATCAGATTGGTTAAGTAATGTCACTTTTTTTTTTTTTTTTTTAAACTGTATCAGGCCAAAGTTAAAACCTGCCAATTTAAAAACTACCTGGTGTTGCCTTCTCTAATTAATGACTGCTCGTTGCATTGGCCAGAAGATAATCTGAGCTCTCATCAACTGAATTATTATAAAGGTTTAATTATTGGAAATATACACTATCTCCTACAAAGCATAAATTTTACTATGGGATGGTTAAAGATTACTTGCACATTGATTACTTCCATTATTACATAAGACACTTTTAATAGGCCAACACAACTTTTCACGCTATGTAACCATCGTACGTTTTTCAAACATTGGCAGTGCATATTTAGATTATAATATCTCCAGGAATCTATAAGTTTGTGTGATTATTCCCTATTGATGCTTTTAAACTGCTTCTTTGTGAAACTGTGCCGCTTTTTTGCCAACAGTAGTTACTCAACACTTCTCCGGTATCATTAAACTGACGTATGTAGATGCCACTGACGACGTTCGCAGTGAGTATTTTTCTTCACTACTACATTTTAAAAGCTTCTGAGCATTAGCACTGACACGTGTTGAAGCACACACGTGCAGTAGTACTATTTGGAGGTTTGATCTTTGTTTTCTACGTTGCCAAGAATGTGGTTTTCACAAAGCCTGTATTGATTAGAATTAGCGACATGCGTCTTGTCCCATTGTTTATATTTTGTAAATATGATCAATCCACCGGGTACATTGATGTTTTTCAAGCTTTATAATTTTACGCAGCTAAAAACTTTGTTTAAATAGGCCATGAGATTGTTGCTTTCTTATATTGTGTCTTTACGATGTAATGTATCCGCACACTGTGTTAATAAGATTAAAACTCTGCTTTTGCAAATTAAATGAGCTACGAGTGAAAAGCTGATTGGATCAATTTTGTTATTTTGAGCAAGAAATCGGGTTTTGTAGAATTTTTTTTCCAGATCAAACAAACTGAGAGGTCAACACACCATTAGAAAAGGTGATTTTTTTTTATTTTTATTACATTACTTTTCACTCTATACACAGATACATGTGTGTGTGTGCTCTAGCTATGTACAATCACATGATGAAATTATATGGTTACATGACGGATTCGATCAAACCAACAATAGTAGGAGGATACATAGGTAGTAAAATAAAATATGTGGGGGAGGGGGGGGGGTTCACAAATATCTCAGTCAGCAGTGGAGCTTTTCCTTCACCCTGTTCACATGTGATTGAATTTACACACAAGAGACCGGAGGTGTACTGAGCAGTTTTGAGTGTAAACGTAGTCATAGCAACAAGGGAAGGAGAAGAGACTTTCTTAGATAATGGAAGGCACAGTCACACAAACTAAAGGTGGACCTCCACCACACGTCATCCCTAGTGACAAATATAAGTCTAAATTTTGTCTTTTTTTGAAAGTGATTAAAAATGGACAAACCTTTAATCAGGGCAGATTAATTAGTTTACAATATGATATCATAGGTTCGTCTTAGTGTAGAGTTTATATATAAATATTTAGTTATTCCTCACATTACAGTGGCAAGGTTCTCTAATGGTAACAGAGCAGTTTGATGTCTATAAAAATGATAGTTTTTGAGCCCATGTCCTTTATTCTTACTTCCTGGTTGTTGAGAACTGGCTCTAATCTGAATGTTGGAGGGTTTTTGTTTGTTTTTTCTTTTCTAAAAAGGAGAAGCAGTGCTGTGGCAGCCAACTGGATACAGCAGTACTGACAGATTTACACCTACCGTCGTACCCTCAGCTCTGACCAGGTACAACCACACTCTCTACAACTATGTTCCACAGCAGCAGGTTCCCAGTTAAGCAGATTCGTCTTTGCTTTGTCGGATGTCGGCTACGCTCTCTGGGACCCTGGCCACCATTCCCTCCAGGGTCTTCGACAGACAGATCTGGCAGCCCAGACGAGATCTGAAGGGAGAAACGAGTAGCACGTTACATCTGATTCTCTACAATGCTTACGGCAGTTGTAGAGAAGAGCATCTGAGAGGAGCCAAATGTAGTTATTTGTTGAACGTTTTTGTTAGCTGGCTAAATTCACCCTGTTAACTCAAATCCAGCCAATCTGTTTTTTTTTTTAGTGCAGTTATCTTGAGTAACACTGCGCTCTTATTTTGAAGTAAAGTTGTATTGCAGGAAGTGGGCTTTTATGGAAACTCAGTTTGTCACACTTTCACAGGGGCCTGTGTTTCCTTACGTGTCAGTCAGGCCGTAGGCTAAGTCTAGCATGTCCATTTCCTCGTCTGTAACCGGACCCAGCTTCTTGTAGACTTCCTCATCAAAGATCAGATGGCATGTGGAGCACGCCAACGTGCCCTCACACGCTCCTACAGCAGAACACACACTTTTATTAGTTTATGTGATGGATGAGATCAGTTGGACACAGCTCAGTTACATTATGAGTTTACACCATCCCACACCAAAAATGTATGTTTGCTTATGTACCAAAGCCATCAAAGTCGAGGTCTTCGTTAATGACAACATCTAGCAGTGAGTCTCCAGGTGAGCCCTTCACTGAAATCTTCTCCCCGTCTCTGTTGATGAAGTGGACTGTCACCTTATTGTCTGATCTGAAACACACAGAGAGTGTTTGCAGTGTTTAAATGCAGAAAAGCAGAAAACAAAATTAAGGTGGCAGTCAGATGATAAAGTGCAGAAATAGCTCAGAGCTGTGGGTAGCAGCTTGGAGTGAAGAGTTTACGCAGCTGCAGAGTTGGGCCTCTGAGCTTTGAGCAAAGTTCTCAGCTTGCAGTTTTCTGCATGGTTTTTTTCCCAGCTCTAGCCTTCTCTCGCTTCTAGCAATGTGTGAATTGATCACGACCGTTTAGTCCTGTGGGGGCGTCACCTGTCTTCTCCTGTGTTTGAACTTGGAGAAGAGACTTGGTTGTAGTTTGTGACTCTTATCTAGGGAGGGACAGAGGAAGGGGGTGTCTGTGTGTGTTCATGCATGGCACAGAGAGGCCAGGATTCACACATTAGTGATAATCAGTCCTTTTGGTGTTACTTGTCCTCTATGAGAAACAATCAAATATCATTAGACAGAGTCTTGTTGTTCCAAACTGGAGATGTTGTCTGTGTTTCCCAGTTGCCTGGAGTCCCCTTGGTGTCTCTCTGACTTGCTAAAAGCATGGACTGTTTGTGGGAGAAGGGTCCTTTGTCTCTGGTTCCTATCAATTTGATTGTTTGATGGTGGGAAGGTTGACAAAGTGTCACTTGCTGGTCTGTAACTCTACGTGTCCTTATAATGAACTTCTTTAATGGTTTGTGACTGGTGTGAGCTAAACTCTGGGATGGGAGGGAGGGAGGGAGGGAGGAAGGAGTTTCCACAGAGAGTCTGCTTGGACATGTTTTACTGTGATGGACAATTTGTCCTTGATAGCAGGTCTGGAGCATCACACACACCAACACCATGCAGAAGGAAATGTGTGGGACATCAACAAAGGTTAGAAAGTGGTGTGTGGCAAGAATTGTTTTGTTTAATTTTGATTTGCATTTTCTCTATGTATTTAGTCAAATGTGTTTTCATTTTTTGCTCTTATTTAATGCGTGGTTCTCTGTGAGCGCATGCAGTTGGACGTGAAAATGGGACGCTGGATAGAGAAAGTGTTAGAGGAATGATAGCAGCTTCATTGGCAGGATAGTTTGATTGATGGGGGAAGAACTATGTAACAGTTTATTTGAGCAGACGGTAGAGCTGTGTTTGTTTTGTGTGGTACTTTTAGGTGTGAAAAGTTTCATGCAGAAGTTTTGAAAATTGTATGTAGTAAAATGTTTGTTTTTTGTAGCAGGATGTTTCGTGATGGGCTGTGCTGCAGTCCAGCGGGGTCCTCTGGAGGAGAGTTTCCTGCTCTGTGTGTTTTGAGTGATTTTTTGCTTTGTGTGTTTGTGTTGTGTATTGTCATTTGAGATTCAGGTGGCTTACGCTTTTGTCAGGGCCAGTTATAGGTTACGTCATTCAGTTAGGCCATTGTGCTTTTGCTCTCTGGTTGTGTTCTGGGACCAGCAGATGAAGTTGTTGGACCATATTGATCTCCACCTTTTTTTCTAGGCATTATTTGAGGGGTGTTTGCATTTTTGTATATGGTGTGGGAGGAGATAGTGGTGCTTGGGAGGGTTACCGGCTCCAAGAATGTGTGTGCATAGTGATCCATTCCTTGTTAGTGGAGCGAGCGTTCACTTAAGCGTTTGGCTGCGGGGCCTGAGATAGCAGCTTTCTATGGTTTACACTACATGGTGACAATTGTTATGGCGCTGAAATTTGAAGTTAAGGGAATTTGCACAATAATTTATGGATTCGGAGGTCAATTCGTATGCTTGAAGTTATAGCTGTTGTCGCGTAGTTATGGCATTAGGCAAATGCTTGAGTTTGTGGAAGAAAGGCAAAGGTACTTTGTGTGAGTAGTTGCAGTGTTCCAAGGGGAAGTGAGGGACTAATTCGAGCATTTGTGGCAGCTTTGATCCGTTTAGGTGAGTTTGTGGAGATTCACATTTTGAGGGTGTTCTTGACAAAAGTGTTTATCCTTTGTGTTTGTGTTGCTCGGTGCTTTGTGCTCATGGGGCTGATCATCTATCGGGAGAGGACAGGTAGGAGAGCAGAGTTTCGTCGTGTCACCAGTCAGGAGGCATATCGAATGAGGCCGCACCTGTGAAGGCCGCGTGCTGAGGTCACGGCGAGTTTGGCCGATTCAGAGGACCACGAGATAGAGAAGCAAGAGTCACAGGCCGAGTAGGGACCTGTAGACACGATGCTCGAGGGCTCAAAGAGGAAGACGGCTGGAGCGCGGTTCCAGGCTTCTTGTGGCGCATTTTGCGTTCAGCCTCCAGCGTGGTCGCCGTGGCTCTCTACTGAGTTCTTGTGTTTGCGTTTCAAGACTACTTCTCTCTGCGTTTTGAGACGTGGTAAGCGACGTCGCCGACAGTGCGTAGTCGTCGGAAAGACCGCTGCGAGCTTCAACGCGCTTCTGGGGTCTTGCGCACGCGAGTCCACCACGAGCAGAGGGGACGCCGGGCGGAGACCGCCCGTTTGTTGGAGCTTGTTTGATGTCATCGGCGCCTGCGGTTCTGTTTCAGCAGTGGCCAACGTAAGTGCTTCTGCTAAACATTGGTCCTTTCATTGTGAGCCCAGCTGGACTTTTGTGTAACACTTGCCAAAGACCCTGCAAAGACTGAAGAGATGTCATTAGGTATCGCTTTATTCAGGCCAAACAAGAGGGTATACAAAACAAAGCGCACCTACTCCTAAAGTGGGGTTCCAATGTAGTAAGGCTCGTGTCAAGATATCTCTGTCTAAGACGTTCGCTAATACAATATGAACGAGTTCGTGAACGGTTACCCCTCCGGGTGTGGCCCCGGGGGGCGCTATTGTGGTATCCATCTGTTTGGCGCTTCTCTTGTTTGGCTCGTCATTTTTTCAGGTGCCTGGCCGACAAGTGGTCAGGGGATCCAGCGCTGATGCACGTACACCTGTGCTAACACCTGAGCTACACCTAGCCCAGTCTTCCCTCTTTAAACTCTTGGCTCTCTGACCTCGCTGCTTTCTTCATTGTCATGCTGTCCGCTCGTGTGCAACTTGCAGACCTGATGGCAGTTGTGGCCTTTTCTTTTTTTTGCTCATTGTATTCTTCAGGTGGCCTGGTGTGGCAGATTTTATTGGGGTTGGGTATGCTCCAGCTTCGCTAGCTGGACCGCTATCAGCGTGGCAGTTTTCTTATGTTTTGGCTTGTAAATAACGATCAGCATGTTTGGAAGTTTGTGGCGTCTCCCAATTGTTTTGTTGTTAGTTACTCCAGCTCAAGTTGGATGGTTGAAACAGAAGCATATTCATCGATGAGCGCGCACTAACTAACAGCATCATTAAAAAGCCGATCAGTATTA